TATTTGTAGTGTATTAGTATCATTACTATTAGTAGTAGTATTACTGTTTGTAGTATTATTACTATTTGTAGTGTAGTAGTATTAGTACAATTTGTAGTGTAGTAGTATTATTACTATTTGCAGTGTAGTAGTATTATTACTATTTTTAGTGATTGTAGCATCACACACACGTGTGACGTCACTATGCGGGGGAGCGTCACTACCACGCGGGTCTACACACACATGACGTCATCCCGGCTGGAGGCGAGAATGACGTCAGGGCCGGTTCTGGACTCGGGAGGCCACGAGGGTGGTGTGAGGTCATGGCACTCTGTGACCCCGGCTGGACACGTGACTGGACCCCAGTGGGGGGCACGTGGACAGCAAGGGGGGGGGGGCTTCGAGAGGGTTCTCGAAGGGAGGCGTGGCCGGGGTGGGGCCCGGGCATTAGTGGTATTATTACTATTAATGTATAGTGTAGTATACTAGTACAGCACTAGTGTATAGTGTAGTGTATAGTGTAGTATACTAGTACAGCACTAACCGGTTGTGTGTTGGAGAGTGAACCCACAACGTTTACAATCTGAGTACGACGTTTCGCCAGTAATTACAACTAGCTCCATCAGGCAACAGCCAGATTCCTTATGGAGAGGCGTAGATGTGGTGACCACGCTTCTGCGCTCTTACAAGCCGCCAACGTCTTGGGAGGCGCCGCTGGGGCGCCACCACCACCGCCGCCAATGTTGTGCCACGCGTCGCTCCACTGCTGGATGAGTGACACCAGCGGGCCGCCCTGTCAAGTGGACTGCGGCGTTGTATTACCCCCCCCCACCCCATCACGTTGACTCCACGCGCCCTCCTCTCGGCCCCGACCCGGGACGACGTCAAAGACTCCGTGACGGCGTTCCCAAGAGCCGAGAACGTCGCGTGCCCGTCTAAGGGGCTTGCGGGTTTCCTCAATTAGACAACAAAAATTAATCATTTACACCGCAGATGTTGAGTGAATGTTCGTGTGACACCAATCATCGCCCCCCCCGCCACGACCACGATGCACTTGGCAGGACCCTCACACAAAGAGGGTCACGAGACCATCACCGATGCTCTCACGGGTAAAGAAGCGTAATGAAAATCACGATACTGGTGTTACCAACACGCTCCCATCTGACACAAAGGCAGTTTTACGATGAATGTCGCCACGAAGGGGTTTAATAAACGTTAACGCTTCTGAACGTGGCCACGTGGTCACGTTGCATCGCAGCTGCCCGCAGGCCAGAGCCGAACCAAGTTTACTGACAGTGGAAGTACTGCAGTTACAGTTTACAGACCCTTGTCTGTCCACTGCTGGATGAGTGCCCCCCTTTCGGCAATAGGGGTTTTGTTTATTTGTGGGACCATACTTCACGACGCTGGTCAGTCGCTTCATCAGCATAGGGGGGCCCGTTTTGACTTCGTGTCACGCGCCTAGTCCAAAGCCACGTGGTGGCAGTGCCTTTCGCGAAGTTTCTAAACAGTTTGAGAGGCATCATTATTATTATGAGCGGTATAATTACCCTGGGCGTGTTTAACGAGATTCCCCGTGACCCGTGCCACCCTCTAAAAAAGAAACCCCTCGACTAAAAACCATGGTCGAAGCCGTTCATTCATTCCGCGAGATGGGAGTGGCTTTTTCTGTGGGGGTGGAATTCAGTGCCCGAAGCTGTGTGTGGGCAAACCACGTGTCCAGCTCGCTCTGCCTCTGGTCTCTGCCAGGGACCCCCCCCCCCCCCCCAGATTATCCGTCACCGCCTTCTCAGGGAGCTATCATTCCAGTGTGTTGTGACCAGGGTCCGATTGACCCATAGGATAATAAGGCCCTCATATGTTAACTACCTCGTCTGGTACGCAGGAGGTCGTGGGTTCGATCCCGACCCTGATAGCCTGCTGTATATTTGGAGTTTGCGTCTCTCTCTCATCATCACGGTGGCTATGAGATGTTAACTACCTCGTCTGGTACGCAGGAGGTCGTGGGTTCGATCCCAACCCTGACGCCTGCTGCTGTTGTATATTTGGAGTTTGCGCGTCTCTCTCTCATCATCATCACGGTGGTTATGAGATGTTAACTACCTCGTCTAGTACGCAGGAGGTCGTGGGTTCGATCCCAACCCTGACGCCTGCTGCTGTATATTTGGAGTTTGCGTGTCTCTCTCTCTCATCATCATCACGGTGGCCAGGAGATGTTAACTACCTCGCCTGGTATACAGGAGGTCGTGGGTTCGATCCCAACCCTGACGCCTGCTGCTGCTGTATATTTGGAGTTTGCGCGTCTCTCTCTCTCATCATCATCACGGTGGCCAGGAGATGTTAACTACCTCGCCTGGTATACAGGAGGTCGTGGGTTCGATCCCAACCCTGACGCCTGCTGCTGCTGTATATTTGGAGTTTGCGCGTCTCTCTCTCTCATCATCATCACGGTGGCCAGGAGATGTTAACTACCTCGCCTGGTATACAGGAGGTCGTGGGTTCGATCCCAACCCTGACGCCTGCTGCTGCTGTATATTTGGAGTTTGCGCGTCTCTCTCTCTCATCATCATCACGGTGGCCAGGAGATGTTAACTACCTCGCCTGGTATACAGGAGGTCGTGGGTTCGATCCCGACCATGACGCCTGCTGCTGTATATTTGGAGTTTGCGTGTCTCTCTCTCATCATCATCACGGTGGCCAGGGGATGTTAACTACCTCGCCTGGTGTACAGGAGGTCGTGGGTTCGATCCCAACCCTGACGCCTGCTGCTGTATTTTTGGAGTTTGCGTGTCTCTCTCTCCCTCTCCCCGTGGTCGCGTGGTTTTTTTTCTTCCGGGTTCTCCGGTTTTTGTCCCCCCTCCACATTTAGAACCGACAACACCCGTTCAGAGTGTTTGGCCGATGTCCACGCGATGATGACAAGCCACTTCTATGAGCTATCGTTCGTTATAGCCAGGTCGCTTCTGAAAGAAAGGGCTATTATATAGCTCAGTGGGGCATTGCCCGGTAAAATATATTTTAAAAACGTAATTTAGTTTTTATAATACAGGTTACTTTTGGCTTAGATCGCGTAAATATTTAAATGTGTGGTTAAACCGCCAAGACCCGACAAAGCCAATGAGTAAGGTTTGTCACGCAAACAGAACGTGCCAATTCGTTACTAGTGCAGCACACACTCCGGTGTGTTGGAGAGCCAAGCCACAACATTGACGATCTCCTTAAGGCCCTCAGCTCCACCTTGAAGTCAAGAGCTCAGAGACAGCAGCGTGGCCATCACGGATCACCGTTTCCTGTCTTTGAATTACGATGGCGTCGTCACCGTCATCACCATTCGTGACTTTGCCACAGCTAAAGCGAGGAGTAACCATCTTGCTTGGATGAAGAAATGAGCGCAGCGAGCCATTTACGTTTGATGAAGATACCCTTGAGTCGATTAAACGAGTCAATGTTACATTGCTAAATAAATACATGTTTGACGATTTCAGAATAGTGTTTGTAATATTGTGTTTGTAATACTGTGGAAACTAACTCCTTTTCCCTCCTATGATAGCCTCTGGGCCCCTCATGGCCTGAACCTAGCCCTGGCCGTGAACCGGGGCTATGCCTGACCCTGCTGATGAGACACTGTGTGTCGAAACCGCTCCGGAAGTTTGTGCTCATCTCGAAGCAGTGCTGCTAAAATTACATCACAGCTGTCAACCCCTTACCAGTGCCCTCTACCTTATTACAGACCCACTGAGACCTTGTTGGTCACCCCGTGCATGCCCCTTATAAATCTCAGTGTTCATCCTACAAAGTCCCATCACAAGGGAGGAACACGAACAAATAGACAAACACATTGTGTCGTAACCCTCCACCAGCCGACACAGCCAGTAAGGGTTGTCACGTAAGCAACGAGCAAATCAGTTACGTCTTCAGCCCACCGTTCTGTGTCGGGTGGTGGAGGGTTACGACACATTTAAACTTAAATCCAACCCAAAAACCTTTATTATGAATAATATTGGGCGCAGAAAGCCTACCTACGTGTTCAACAGACGAGACATTTTTGCCCGTTTTGAAAGGGCTGTGCGCCGTATGGACCTGGGAACCCAATGGCCCTGCAGAGGAACACGCCGAGGCCCCGAGCGGGCTGACGGCAACGTGAAATTCTCCCGGAATTGCTCGTGCTCGGGGCGCAGGTGGAGTACGATGAATAACAACAGTATGGACTTATGTGGAGAGACAAGCCATGCAAGTGCACGTGCAGCATGTGCATACTGTTGATGAAGGAGGCATTTGTCTTGTGTTCTATTCGACAAGGCTCCGAAGGCCACAGAAGCCAGACGCCCCGGGTCACGTTGCCCACGACACGCGGGGCTCGCGGTGGCCACGGCTGGAGCCTGCTGCGATGTTGGAGGCGTCCAATAGGAGGTCGCCGCACATCCCAGTGTGGCAGGGCCCTCCTTGAAGCGGCCTTGAGACTCTTAAGAGATCCCGGTGAGGGGCTTATTTGGGTCAAATTTGAATGTGCTCTGAAGGAGGGGCGTTACAAGACCACGCAGCGTTCCTAACGAACGTGTTGAGTATTTATATATCCATGTGTAGTGGCATCGGTCTCCCTCGTGTGAACCACAACACATCTTATGTAAGTGTTGATTTCGTCAGCCACAAACCGGAGCCTCGCATTTCACAGCGAGGCCACAGGGTGCGTGCTGAGAGTGGAGCACACAAAGAGGTTCCACAGTGGAGCCACCAGATTCAAACTGAGCCACGCGGTTGAGCCACACGTGTCACAGTGGACCCCCAAGGTGGACCCACGCGTGTCATAGTAGAGCCACCAGCTTCAAACTGAGCCACGCAGTTGAGCCACACGTGTCACAGTGGAGCCCCAAGGTGGACCCACGCGTATCACAGGAGAGCCGCCAGATTCAAAGTGAGCCACAGTGGAGCCACGGTGTAACCACGTGGAGCCCCAAGGTGGACCCCCAAGGTGGACCCCCAAGGTGGACCCACGCGCTTCACAGGAGAGCCATCAGCTTAAAAATGAGCCACGCAGTTGAGCCACACGTGGAGCCCCAAGGTGGACGCACGCGTATCACAGGAGAGCCACCAGATTCAAAGTGAGCCACGGTGTAACCACGTGGGGCCCAGTGGAGCCCAGTGGAGTCGCTCCGCGCATGCCTCGCGGTTTAACGGTGGTGGCTCGCCTCCAACTTTTCACGACCCCGCCCCTGCAGCAGCGACTCGCCCGCCCGAGACGCGGGAGACGACACGGGCAGAGCGAGGAGGCGGACGAGGAGAGAGAGAGAGAGAGAGGGCGAGAGAGACAAAGGCGGTCCAGGGGAGACGCGGGAGAGGCTCGCGGAGGGAGCGAGGACGTCGCGGGAAATCGCGGATAACAGGATTCGCGGCCATCGAGAAAAGCAATGCAGGTGGGGAGAGTGGGGTAGGAGACAAAGGGGGAGGGAGACACGTGGCGTCTGAGTGTATGATGTGTGTATGATGTATGTGTGTATTATGTGTGTGTGTATGATGTAGGTGTATGATGTGTGTGTATGATGTGGGTGTACGTGGGTGTGATGTATGTGTGTATCATGTGTTTGATGCGTGTGTTTGATATGTGTATGATGTATGTGTGGGTGTGTGTGTGTGGTTGACTGAGTGTTGTGTGTGGTTGACTGAGTGTTGTGTGTGGTTGAGTGAGTGTGTGGTTGAGTGGGTGTGTGGTTGAGTGAGTGTGTGTGTGTGGTTGAGTGAGTGTGTGTGGTTGAGTGAGTGTGCTTGTGGTTGACTGTGTGGTTGAGTGTGTGTGTGTGGTTGAGTGTGTGTGTGGTTGAATGAGTGTGCCTGTGGTTGAGTGAGTGTGTGTGTGGTTGAGTGTGTGTGTGGTTGACTGAGTGTGTGGTTGAGTGTGTGTGTGGTTGACTGAGTGTGTGGTTGAGTGAGTGTGTGTGTGTGGTTGAGTGAGTGTGTGTGTGGTTGAGTGTGTGTGTGGTTGAGTGTGTGTGTGGTTGAGTGTGTGTGTGGTTGAGTGAGTGTGTGTGTGGTTGACTGAGTGTGTGGTTGAGTGTGTGTGGTTGAGTGTGTGTGTGGTTGAGTGAGTGTGTGTGTGGTTGAGTGAGTGTGTGTGGTTGAGTGAGTGTGTGTGTGGTTGACTGAGTGTGCGTGTGGTTGACTATGTGTGTGGTTGACTGAGTGTGTGGTTAAGTGTGTGTGTGGTTGAGTGAGTGTGTGTGTGGTTGAGTGAGTGTGTGTGTGGTTGACTGAGTGAGTGTGTGGTTGAGTGAGTGTGTGTGTGTGGTTGAGTGAGTGTGTGTGGTTGAGTGAGTGCGCGTGTGGTTGACTGAGTGAGTGTGTGGTTGAGTGAGTGTGCGTGCGGTTGACTGAGTGTGTGGTTGACTGTGTGTGTGGTTGACTGAGTGAGTGTGTGGTTGACTGTGTGTGTGGTTGAGTGTGTGTGGTTGAGTGTGTGTGGTTGAGTGAGTGAGTGTGTGGTTGACTGTGTGTGTGGTTGAGTGTGTGTGGTTGAGTGTGTGTGGTTGAGTGAGTGAGTGTGTGGTTGAGTGTGTGTGGTTGAGTGAGTGAGTGTGTGGTTGAGTGAGTGAGTGTGTGGTTGAGTGAGTGAGTGTGTGGTTGAGTGTGTGTGGTTGACTGAGTGAGTGTGTGGTTGACTGTGTGTGTGGTTGAGTGTGTGTGGTTGAGTGAGTGAGTGTGTGGTTGAGTGAGTGAGTGTGTGGTTGAGTGAGTGAGTGTGTGGTTGAGTGTGTGTGGTTGAGTGAGTGTGCGTGCGGTTGACTGTGTGTGTGGTTGACTGAGTTCATGTGAAGCGCCATGAACCCACCGACCCGAGTTCTATTCGCGCTCACGGCCATCAACATTGACGATTATATAAACCGGTCCTGGGCCACCCCTAGGTCGACTCGGCCTCAAATAAGTACCCGATGCGGTGTGTAAACATCGCCACTGGGGAGACAAAGGCGGCCGGGCGCGGTGTTGGCCAACCCACGCACCCCCCACCCCACCACCCCTCACTTGACAGATGCCACTCGCTAACGGCACTTGCCCCGGCAGCGCGCCAAGGCTACACGGGGCCTCTTTGTCTTTGGCGGCTCGTGGGCAGCGTGGGGGAGCTGCGTCCACGACGCCACGTGGAATGGCGGCGTCTTGAAGGGCGTGAGGCCTTCAACCAGCAGTAGATAAGTCGTGGCTGACGATGTTGACGATGACGCGTGAAATGATTTACCCTCTCTCACTCTCTTTTTGTTACGATCAGAGGAAACAAGAAGGTGCTCGGTGTAGTCGGCACTTTGCTTCGTTCATCATTTCGTTTTTTTAATGCTTTGCTTTATGTAACCCCCCCCCTTTTTAAATGAAAGATTTAACAAAAGATTTCTCGCTCTGCTCTCCTTACCCCTTCCCTCTCTCTCTACCCCCCTCTCTGCCTCTCCTCTCTCTCTACCCCCCTCTCTGCCCCCCCTCTCTCTCTACCCCCTCTCTTCCTACTCCATGTCGCTCTCGCTCTTTTTTTTAACTACGACAAGTGCTGCATCTGCACGCAGCTCTTCCCACAGTCAAACGGCCTCCGACGGGTAGCTTAGATCTGCATGCAGAGCTCTCTACCGTCATTTGCCACCGAGCACACGGCCTCCTCCAGTGCCCACTGCTCCTTGAAGGCCGGCACGGCGTGGGTCAGCCGCGCGTGGCAGAACTCCAGCCAGACCCTGGCTCCGACCAGAGCGTGGAAGATGCCCAGGCTGCTGGCTGGACGTTGCCCCTCCAGGGCCACCTTCCTCGCCCTGTATATGGCGAGCTTGGCGTAGCCGAAGAGCACGTTGACCAGCCCCTGAAGATGTTGGGGTCCGTCGCCCTTCGGGTATCCAAAGATGAGGACCGTCGGGGAGAAGTGGAGGCTGAACCTTAGGAGGATGTTTCTCAGGACCTTGAACAGCGAGTCCAGGCTCTTGCACTCCACGTATTGGTGCGCCACCGTCTCCACTTTACCGCAGAACCGTCACTCTGGGGACGTGTCGGTGAAGTGCGCCAGGGAGACGTTGGTGGTGACGGTGCAGTGGACAATGCCCCAGCTGAGGTCGCCGATGTGGTTGTACGTCGTGCTGGAGTAGAGTTGCCTCCAGCGAGGCCTCTCCGGAGAGACGCAGGGCAGGGATCTCCTCCAGGCATGGTCCTTGTGGCTCCTCAGGGTGTCCTGTTGGTGGAACCGGACCATGTAGGAGTAGAGCACCTTCCTCTTTACATTTTTGAAGGCCACCTCCGGTAGGTCTTCTAGCCGGCACAGGTTGTGATCCTCTTCGTTTGTCGGCATTGGCGATGCAGTGGCACGACTGAGAGCTCCGGTGGAGGGGGACCAAGAGGGGCCTCGTCATCCCCAACGCCGATGGGGGGCGTTTTCCCCGCTGCCGCTGAGAAGGCCCCCTTGGCTTCGGCCAGGATCCGGGCAGCCACCCGGAGCGACTGCAGCCCCCCTGTCTTTGTGGCCACGTCTGCTGGTCCGAGCCACCGGCCCCGTGTTTCAGGCTCCACCAGATCTCCCATCCTGGTGAGCCGCGCGTTGGCGAGGCGCCTCTCCATGCCTGGGGTGGCGGTGGTGGATGGCAGCTTTGTCTTTGGGTTCCTGAGGATCGGTTCGAAGACCAGATCCTCGGCCGATCGCAGTTGGTTCAGCCTCCTGGCGCCGAGGGAGCTCCACGTCTGCAGGACGCTCCTGTAGAAAGGTGGCAGCTGTCCCAGTGGCAGGCCCTGCAGGTCTATGTAGAATAGTTGTTTGGAGCACTGCAGACCCCCCAGCTGTTTCAGGAGGAAGGAGGCCGTGACGCTCCAGGCCGGTGCAGGGGCAACGTGCAGGAACTTTTGCGCGGCCTGCAGTCGGAAGGTGGCCAGCAGACATACCAGCCCGTGACCTGTCTCGCTCGCTCGCTCTCTCACTCGCTCTCTCTCGCTCGCTCTCTCTCGCTCGCTCTCTCTCGCACTCCACTGAGCGTGAGCCACATGCAACTTCAACTTTAAGATGCACTGAGAGATGTAAATCTGACGATTTTCATTATACATCTCACAATGTTACATTTTACATCTCACCTTGTTACATTAAACAGCTCACAATGTTACATTAAACATCTCACAATGTTACATTATACATCTCACAATGTTACATTATACATCCCACAATGTGCATTCATTCCTTAGACGACATTCGTGAATGAATGAATGCAGGCGACGTTTATTGGGTGCAGTCGCCAGTCACGTGACCTTCGCGCGTGAATGTTCCAAGAAATACCGCCCACACAGCAATGAGTCTGTGGGTCTTTGTATGAGTCTGTGGGCCTCTGTGTGAGTCTGTGGGTCTTTGTATGAGTCTGTGGGCCTCTGTGTGAGTCTGTGGGTCTCTGTGTGAGTCTATGGGTCTCTGTGTGAGTCTGTGGGTCTCTATGTGAGTCTATGGGTCTATGTGTCTGTGGGTCTCTAAGTGAGTCTGGGGTCTCTGTGTGAGTCTGTGCGTCTCTGTGTGAGTTTGTGGGTCTCTGTGTGAGTCTGTTGGTCTCTGTGTGAGTCTGCGGGTCTCTGTGTCTGTGGGTCTCTAAGTGAGTCTGGGGGTTTCTGTGTGAATCTGTGGGTCTCTGTGTGAGCCTGTGGGTCTCTGTGTAAGTCTGTGGGTCTCTGTGTGAGTCTGTGGGTCTCTGTGTGAGTCTGTTGGTCTCTGTGTGAGTCTGCGGGTCTCTGTGTGAGTCTGGGGGTCTCTGTGTGAGTCTGTGGGTCTCTGTGTGAGTCTGTGGGTCTCTGTTTGAGTCACAATGTGAGTCCACATAGTACTGTATAACTCATATGCGCATGAATGTTCCAAGAAATACCGCCCACACAGCAATGAGTCTGTGGGTCTCTGTGTGAGTCTATGGGTCTCTGTGTGAGTCTATGGGTCTATGTGTCTGTGGGTCTCTAAGTGAGTCTGGGGGTGTCTGTGTGAGTCTGTGGGTCTCTGTGTGAGTTTGTGGGTTTCTGTGTGAGTCTATGGGTGTCTCTGTGTGAGTATGTGGGTCTCTCTGTGAGTCTGTGGATCTCTGTGTGAGTCTGGGGGTCTATGTGAGTCTCTGGGTCTCTGTGTGAGTCTGTGGGTCTCTGTGTGAGTCTGGGGGTCTCTGTGTGAGTCTGTCAGTCTCTGTGTGAGTCACAATGTAAGTCCACATAGTACTGTATAACTCATATGCGCATGAATGTTCCAAGAAATACCGCCCACACAGCAATGAGTCTGTGGGTCTCTGTGTGAGTATGTGGGTCTCTGTGTGTGTCTGTGGGTCTCTGTGAGTCTCTGGGTCTCTGTGTGAGTTTGTGGGTTTCTGTGTGAGTCTGTGCGTCTGTGTGAGTTTGTGGGTCTCTGTGTGAGTCTGTTGGTCTCTGTGTGAGTCTGTGGGTCTCAGTGTGAGTCTGTGGGTATCTGTGTGAGTCTGTTGGTCTCTGTGTGAGTCTGCGGGTCTCTGTGTGAGTCTGTGGGTCTCTGTGAGTCTGTGGGTCTTTGTATGAGTCTGTGGGCCTCTGTGTGAGTCTACGGGTCTCTGTGTGAGTCTGTGGGTCTCTGTGTGAGTCTGGCGGTCTCTGTGTGAGTCTATGGGTCTCTGTGTGAGTCTATGGGTCTATGTGTCTGTGGGTCTCTAAGTGAGTCTGGGGGTTTCTGTGTGAATCTGTGGGTCTCTGTGTGAGCCTGTGGGTCTCTGTGTGAGTCTGTGGGTCTCTGTGTGAGTCTGTTGGTCTCTGTGTGAGTCTACGGGTCTCTGTGTGAGTCTGGGGGTCTCTGTGTGAGTCTGTGGGTCTCTGTGTGAGTCTGTGGGTCTCTGTTTGAGTCACAATGTGAGTCCACATAGTACTGTATAACTCATATGCGCATGAATGTTCCAAGAAATACCGCCCACACAGCAATGAGTCTGTGGGTCTCTGTGTGAGTCTGTGGATCTCTGTGTGAGTCTGGGGGTCTATGTGAGTCTCTGGGTCTCTGTGAGTCTGTGGGTCTCTGTGTGAGTCTGGGGGTCTCTGTGTGAGTCTGTCAGTCTCTGTGTGAGTCACAATGTAAGTCCACATAGTACTGTATAACTCATATGCGCATGAATGTTCCAAGAAATACCGCCCACACAGCAATGAGTCTGTGGGTCTCTGTGTGAGTATGTGGGTCTCTGTGTGTGTCTGTGGGTCTCTGTGAGTCTCTGGGTCTCTGTGTGAGTTTGTGGGTTTCTGTGTGAGTCTGTGCGTCTCTGTGTGAGTTTGTGGGTCTCTGTGTGAGTCTGTTGGTCTCTGTGTGAGTCTGTGGGTCTCAGTGTGAGTCTGTGGGTATCTGTGTGAGTCTGTTGGTCTCTGTGTGAGTCTGCGGGTCTCTGTGTGAGTTTGTGGGTCTCTGTGTGAGTCTGTTGGTCTCTGTGTGAGTCTGCGGGTCTCTGTGTGAGTCTGCGGGTATCTGTGTGAGTCTGTGGGTCTCTGTGTGAGTTTGTGGGTTTCTGTGTGAGTCTGTGCGTCTCTGTGTGAGTTTGTGGGTCTCTGTGTGAGTCTGTGGGTCTCTGTGTGGGTCTGTAGGTCTCTGTGTGAGTCTGGGGGTCTCTGTGTGAGTCTGCGGGTCTCTGTGTGAGTCTGGGGGTCTCTGTGTGAGTCTGTCGGTCTCTGTGTGAGTCACAATGTGAGTCCACATAATACTGTATAACTCATATGCGCATGAATGTTCCAAGAAATACCGCCCACACAGCAATAAGTCTGTGGGTCTCTGTGTGAATATGTGGGTCTCTGTGTGTGTCTGTGGGTCTCTGTGAGTCTCTGGGTCTCTGTGTGAGTTTGTGGGTTTCTGTGTGAGTCTGTGCGTCTCTGTGTGAGTTTGTGGGTCTCTGTGTGAGTCTGTTGGTCTCTGTGTGAGTCTGCGGGTCTCTGTGTGAGTCTGGGGGTCTCTGTGTGAGTCTGCGGGTATCTGTGTGAGTCTGTGGGTCTCTGTGTGAGTTTGTGGGTTTCTGTGTGAGTCTGTGCGTCTCTGTGTGAGTTTGTGGGTCTCTGTGTGAGTCTGTGGGTCTCTGTGTGGGTCTGTAGGTCTCTGTGTGAGTCTGGGGGTCTCTGTGTGAGTCTGCGGGTCTCTGTGTGAGTCTGCGGGTCTCTGTGTGAGTCTGGGGGTCTCTGTGTGAGTCTGTCGGTCTCTGTGTGAGTCACAATGTGAGTCCACATAATACTGTATAACTCATATGCGCATGAATGTTCCAAGAAATACCGCCCACACAGCAATAAGTCTGTGGGTCTCTGTGTGAATATGTGGGTCTCTGTGTGTGTCTGTGGTTCTCTGTGAGTCTGTGCGTCTCTATGTGAGTTTGTGGGTCTCTGTGTGAGTCTGTTGGTCTCTGTGTGAGTCTGTGGGTCTCTGTGTGAGTCTGGGGGTCTCTGTGTGAGTCTGCGGGTCTCTGTGTGAGTCTGTCGGTCTCTGTGTGAGTCACAATGTGAGTCCACATAATACTGTATAACTCATGCGCATGAATGTTCCAAGAAATACCGCCCACACAGCAATGAGTCTGTGGGTCTCTGTGTGTGTCTGTGGGTCTCTGTGAGTCTCTGGGTCTCTGTGTGAGTTTGTGGGTTTCTGTGTGAGTCTGGGGGTCTCTGTGTGAGTCTGCGGGTCTCTGTGTGAGTCTGCGGGTCTCTGTGTGAGTCTGCGGGTCTCTGTGTGAGTCTGCGGGTCTCTGTGTGAGTCTGCGGGTCTCTGTGTGAGTCTGCGGGTCTCTGTGTGAGTCTGCGGGTCTCTGTGTGAGTCTGGGGTCTCTGTGTGAGTCACAATGTGAGTCCACATAATACTGTATAACTCATATGCGCATTAATGTTCCAAGAAATACCGCCCACACAGCAATGAGTCTGTGGGTCTCTGTGTGAATATGTGGGTCTCTGTGTGTGTCTGTGGGTCTCTGTGAGTCTCTGGGTCTCTGTGTGAGTTTGTGGGTTTCTGTGTGAGTCTGTGCGTCTCTGTGTGAGTTTGTGGGTCTCTGTGTGAGTCTGTGGGTCTCTGTGTGGGTCTGTAGGTCTCTGTGTGAGTCTGGGGGTCTCTGTGTGAGTCTGCGGGTCTCTGTGTGAGTCTGGGGGTCTCTGTGTGAGTCTGTCGGTCTCTGTGTGAGTCACAATGTGAGTCCACATAATACTGTATAACTCATATGCGCATGAATGTTCCAAGAAATACCGCCCACACAGCAATAAGTCTGTGGGTCTCTGTGTGAGTCTGGGGGTCTCTGTGTGAGTCTGCGGGTATCTGTGTGAGTCTGTGGGTCTCTGTGTGAGTTTGTGGGTTTCTGTGTGAGTCTGTGCGTCTCTGTGTGAGTTTGTGGGTCTCTGTGTGAATCTGTGGGTCTCTGTGTGGGTCTGTAGGTCTCTGTGTGAGTCTGGGGGTCTCTGTGTGAGTCTGCGGGTCTCTGTGTGAGTCTGGGGGTCTCTGTGTGAGTCTGTCGGTCTCTGTGTGAGTCACAATGTGAGTCCACATAATACTGTATAACTCATATGCGCATGAATGTTCCAAGAAATACCGCCCACACAGCAATAAGTCTGTGGGTCTCTGTGTGAATATGTGGGTCTCTGTGTGTGTCTGTGGGTCTCTGTGAGTCTGTGCGTCTCTGTGTGAGTTTGTGGGTCTCTGTGTGAGTCTGTTGGTCTCTGTGTGAGTCTGTGGGTATCTATGTGAGTCTGTTGGTCTCTGTGTGAGTCTGCGGGTCTCTCTGTGAGTCTGGGGGTCTCTGTGTGAGTCTGCGGGTCTCTGTGTGAGTCTGTGGGTCTATGTGTCTGTGGGTCTCTAAGTGAGTCTGGGGTCTCTGTGTGAGTCTGCGGGTCTCTGTGTGAGTCTGGGGGTCTCTGTGTGAGTCTGGGGGTCTCTGTGTGAGTCTGCGGGTCTCTGTGCGGCTCTATGAATCCCACGGGCGTCTTCCCCCGCACCTTCTCTCCGCAGAGCTCCCAGCAGTTTGTGCGCCAGGCGCTGGCGTCGCGATGGCGATTCCAATCCCTGCCGCTCAAGCCTCTGACTCCGGTGCCCAGGTACGGCGCTCGCCTGCCCCTGCCCTCGGCTCTCCCGGAGAGCCAGGGGTGGCTCGGAGCCCTGGGGCGGGCGAGATTCACGATGAATGAGCACGGGCGGTGATGTGGAACAGCGGTCGCCGCTGGGACGCCGTGGTGGCGAGATGTTAACTCCCTCGCCTTGTATTCAGGAAGTCGTGGGTTCGATCCCGACCCTGACGATGTCTGCTGTATATTTGGAGTTTGCGTCTCTCTCTCTCCCTCCCCCCGTGGTCGTGTGGATTTTTCTCCGGGTCCCTCCGGTTTCTTTCTCCACGTTTAGGATCGACATCACGCGTTCAGAGTGTGGGGCTGCTGCTATAAATGCCCACGTGATGATGCTAAGCCACTTCGTTGAGCTATCATTTGTGATAGCCAGGTCGCTTATGAAAAAGTACTACTTAGCTCAGTGGGCTTTACCGGGGTAAAGTAAAAACAAATAGTAGAGTTAATAGTGTTATAGTAATGATGATGTCAAGTCGTAACGCTTACGCCGGCGCCGCCACCACCGCACGGTACCCGCTCATCGGTCTCGTAGAGAGAGAGCGACTCAAAGAGAGAGAGGGAATGACTCGGAGAGAGGGTGATTCGTAGAGAGAGAGGACGACTCAGAGGCACCAGGAGGTGGAACCACAGACGCGGAGTGGGAAGGCAGCAGCAGGAGCCACGCAGTGAGGATCCGGCGCTACCAACAATTGCCCGAGCTCTGCGGTCCTCTGTGTGTGTCAGCAGCCAATTCACGAGTGTTTCTACACGTGAGAGGAATCCGGAGTGCCCAGAGAGCACCGGCGAGCGTGAGGGGGAAACACTCTATCCCACACAAACGGGACAGTTGGAGTTAAACATTCTTGCCCAAGCTCTGTGACGGTCCCCCATATATTGAGATGTTTATGACGATTAATGCGTGCTTACATTACATCGAGTTGTTAAGAGAAGCGTGTTGATGGCATCATCAATCACTGCACACACACAAACCCATTGCATCAAAGTTCAGACTCCCTAAAATCATTAGACGGGTTTCTCAAGGGCGCATTTCGTGCAAGGACTCTGCTCGCAGCTGTTCTCTCCAAGATTTCCGATTGCGTTCCTTGTCTCATTGGCAGGATGCCAAGGGCACAATTTGTAGAGAGTTCCCCACCAAGCTCTATATATAAAGGTGTTATCAGCCAATTACATGTGTATGTATGTATGGATGTTGAACGTCTTTCGCACCGTACGTAGCCAACCGTAGCTAATCGGAGGTGCAGGGGAAGGACAACCAACTAAACACAACAAGCAGTTCTAGAGAAATTAGATTGTCAATCTAGATGATGATGATGATTTCAAAGTGCATGGCTCCCAGTGACTTCCTAATATCAGAAGCAAGAGCGTTCCAGACGGCCGCTGAAGCGCATCTGAAGGTGCGCGATGCGGTGACCGCCATCCTGGGAGTGGTGGGGAGGTGGAGGGTGGTGTGGGTGGAGACTCCGTCCCACATCGCTGCTGTTATTGTTGTTGTCGTCCTCCCTTGCATACGGCCTGTCCCTCCTCCAGCGACATCGAGGTCTCCCGTGCCCAGACACCGAAGGCCATGGACCTCCTGGCGCAGGAGGTGGGGCTGCTGCCGGGCGAGGTGGAGGCCTACGGACGCTGCAAGGCCAAGGTGTCTCTGGCCACTCTGCACCGGCTGCGGAACCAGCCCGACGGCAAATACGTGGTGGTCACAAGGTGGGGAGGGCCGTCGGTGGCCAGGAGATGTTAACCACCTCGCCTGGTATGCAGGAGGTCGTGGGTTCAATCCCGGGCCTTGACGCCCACTGCTGCGTATGTGGAATTTGCGAGTCTCTCTCTCTCGCTCCCCGTGGTCGCGCCGATTTTTCCGTGGGTCCTCCGGTTTTTCCCTCCGCATTTAGAATCCACGACGTGCGTTGAGATTATTTGGCTGCTTTATATGTCCACATGAGCTATCGTTTTTGATAGCCAGGCCGCTTTCTGAAAAAGAGCGACATACAGCTCAGTGGGCCTCGCCCGGTAAAACAAAACAAAATTGTTGAGTTTTCGGAGTGCCGCGGTGTCGTGGTCGTCGTGGTCGTACCGACCGCGTCACCGGGGAGTCGCGTCGCCGCACGCCGAGAGACGCTCGCGTAAATCCGCCCGCCTGTACCGCGCCGCCCGGTCAGTGCTGAAGCCGTGCAACTATTTGGCACGTTTTGCTTATCTGTGGCAAACCTTTCTCGGTGGCTGCGTCGGGCGGTGGCGGGTTTAACAACACGCCTCTAATTACGCAATCTCGCCCAACAAAAGAAAAAAACGAACAAGAAATGCGTTGCCGCGGTTACATTTTGCTCGCGAAAGGCGACCACGTGTTCAACTGGACTGTGCCTGTCCCCCAGGCGAGCGTGCGGCGCCGTAACGTGGCCAGTGGGGGGCCGCGAGTCGCAGCAGCTTCTGTGAGAGAGCGCGCGTTGAATCGGCCTCGCAGTAAGAAGAGCCTGGGTTCGATTCCCAACTCGGGCGCCTCTCTGCGCGGGGTTTGCATGCGCTCCCCTGTTCTGTACAAACTCCACGCGCAAATCAAGGGCGCTCGCGTCGCGAAGCGAACGGAGTTCCTGCTTGCTGCTAGGCGCTCGAGTCAGCGCCCCGTGCCACGCCGGGTTCGATTCCCGACCCTGGCGCCTGCTGCTGTATATTTGGAGTCTGCGCGTCTCTCTCTTGCCGTGGTCGCGTGGCTCGTCCTCGGGGGTCCTCCGGTTTTTCCCCTCCTCATTAAGAACCGACGCCGCGCGTTTTCGAGTATTTGGCTGCGATACATTTTGCACGTCATGAGCCGCCAATTCGTTGAGCCGTCATTTGTGAACGCCGGGTCGCTTCTGAAAAAGAGCCACGCAGCTGGCTGTCGGCCTTACCTGGTAACAATAAATACTCTTCAGTTGATCTCGAGGTCGCAAACGGTCGGCGGCGGCGTCGTCTTCGTCGTCACGGCGACCCGAGCATCGAGGTGCGTCGTTGTCGCCCGCAGCATCACCCCGACGCCCCTGGGCGAGGGCAAGAGCACCACCGTGGTGGGGCTGGCTCAGGCGCTCTCCTCGCAGCTGCACCTCAACACCTTCGCCTGCGTGCGCCAGCCGTCGCAGGGACCCACGTTCGGCATCAAAGGTGGCGCGCGGGCGCACGTCTTGGAGGGCGGGGGGGGGGGGGCGTGGGGGGGCGTGGGGGGGGCGTGGGGGGGCGTGGGGGGGGCGTGGGGGGGGCGTGGGGGGGGGGGAGCGTGGGGGGGGGCGTGGGGGGGGGGGGCGTGGTTGGCATAGGGCCTGGCAAAGCCACACTTTGGAAGTTATCGTTACGAGAGTCTCGTCAATCGGCCCGGAGGGCGCCGCTGCCGAGTCTTCGCGGTCGGCGGAGCGATGATCGCCGCTGCCGCTACGCCTGATCCCGGCGGATTGTCCAGCGGCATCACCTTTTCCAAACATTCCACGAATCTGGAGCGGGACGCCGGCGCGGGATCTTTAACGTCCGCCGTGAAGCGGACGGTGCTTGGCATTCTTACGGCCGGCACGCAGCGCAGCGTTAACCGGGGCGGCCCACTGGCTTCAACAGTCGGTGGTTGTTTTGCCGTTAGTGCCGTGCGCCTTGATCCAGCCCCGGCGGTCGGCACGGCTACGCGGGGCACCGTCGCCTCTTGTGCGGTGCGCGGGGGTGGTCGCTTGATCGCGGCGTCTCGCTCTGTCCCCACACCAGGGGGCGCGGCCGGAGGAGGCTACTCCCAGGTCATCCCCATGGAGGAGGTGAGCTCACGCACCGCGTCATCGGCACCATCGTCGTCGCACGACCGTTCTGCCGGTGGCGCGTAGCATGCGTGACGCGGGCCCCGGTGTGAGGAATTAAATGGGAGGGACGGGCCGCCCCCCAATTTCCCCCCCGCAAACCTCTTCATTGCCCAGTGCCTGGGCCATTTCCAGCCTGTAGGCCCCGGTGCAGTTGCACCGCCTGCACACTGCTCGATAGTCGCCACACCACTGCTGGGACGAGACGCGAGACCGCGGGAGAGAGAGAGATTATATAGCATTCAATTCGCGATGGGAACGATGCATTCATGAGAGGTGGGTAGAAGAGAAGCAGGGAAACGGCTACGTGCAGACGGGACTCTCTGGGCAGGAGAGAGCGGCGATGTAGCCCTATGAGGTGGGTGGAACGTGGCAGGAGAGCGACGGGGTGTGTCGCTCTCCTGCCACAGCGATGTCGCAGTGATGTGACAATGGTGTCACAATGATGTCACAGCGATGTCGCAGCGATGTCTCAGTGATGTCACAATGATGTCACAGTGATGTCACAGCGATGTTGCAGCGATGTCTCAGCGATGTCACAATGATGTCGCAGTGATGTCTCAGTGACGTCACAGTGATGTCACAGCGATGTCTCAGTGATGTCACAATGATGTCTCAGCAATTTCCCAGTGATCTCTCAGCGATGTCATAGCAATGTTTTATTCCCCGGCATTTTACAATAAATCACAAATGGCTCGCGTCTCAGGCAGCATGCCCAGGGCTGTGGCACGCCACAGTGAAGCGTCGTGAATAATTATACAAATCTATAAATATGTAAAGTGGGATCGGGGAGACGGCCCCCTGCAGGCCTCGTGAGTGGAAGGCTCGCGGTCGCCCCCCCCCCTCCTGTTTTGGGAAGGGGGGGGGGCGTGGAGGAGGTCGACGCAGATTCACGCCGACGCAGCGGCACGTCGAGGTGGCCCGGCGCGCTTCGCCGCGACGGTTCGATTCACGTCGCCGGCCCGCCATCTCCCGTCCGCAGTTCAACCTGCACCTGACGGGCGACATCCACGCCATCACGGCGGCCAACAACCTGCTGGCCGCCGCCATCGACGCGCGCATCTTCCACGAGAGCACGCAGACGGACAAGGTGAGCGCGCCGGGGCAGCTGCACCGGCCACGGGCCGGGAGTAAAACTGAGGTTGCCGGGTTCGCCGGCAGAGTGCAGCGCACGGATCGCTGGCGCCACTGCCGTCCCTGCACGGGAGAAAGGTAGAGCCAAAGATTCTCCCCCCCACCTCCCAATAGCAGAATAAGAGATGTTTATGATTTTGGTTTTCTTGCGGGAAGAGCAGCGTGTCTCCCGTGGGTGCTGCGGCGTGCGGACGATCGATCCGACACGCCGCTACCGACACGCCGCTACCGACATGCCACTACCGACGCGTCGCTACCGACGTGCACCGTCGGAACCGCAGCGGAGTCGTACTCCTCCGGCTCGTCCGCTGGTCCGCGCGCGACTTTGCCCAGCGTCGATCCGACCGGCGGCGCGTCCCTCCCGTGCGTCTCCTGTCGGTGGAAAATTCCACGTTCCCACGACGAGGGATTCCCCCTCTCTCCGATCGCGAGCGGCGAGCGGCGCCCGTGCCGGGCGGCGTTGGCTGTCGCTGCGACGACGGCTCTGGTGACCGCCCTCCCCGCTTACCCCCCCCCTCCCCAGGCTCTCTACAACCGCCTCGTTCCGCTGGTCAACGGGGTTCGTCGTTTCGCGCCGATCCAAATTCAGCGTCTCAAGGTACGCTCCCGGCGGAGGCGGTGATGGGGACGAGGATGGGGGCGGCGCGTCTCTGTTGCCCATGAAGCAGCAACTGTTGCTCTTCACCCGTTGTGCGTTGCCGTCAGATGCCATCAGTTGACGTCCGAGTTGCAATTCGAGTTGACGCGTGAGTTGACGTGTGGGTTGACGCTTGAGTTGCCGTGTGAGTTGTCGCGTGAGTTGCCGCGTGAGTTGCCGCGTGAGTTGTCGAGTGAGTTGTCGTGTGAGTTGACACGTGAGTTGACGCGTGAGTTGACGCGTGAGTTGACGCGTGAGTTGATGTGTGAGTTGTCGTGTGAGTTGACGTGTGAGTTGACACGTGAGTTGTCGAGTGAGTTGACGCGTGAGTTGATGTGTGAGTTGTCGTGTGAGTTGCCGCGTGAGTTGACGCGTGAGTTGACACGTGAGTTGTCGCGTGAGTTGCCGCGTGAGTTGCCGCGTGAGTTGTCGAGTGAGTTGTCGTGTGAGTTGACACGTGAGTTGACGCGTGAGTTGACGCGTGAGTTGACGCGTGAGTTGATGTGTGAGTTGTCGTGTGAGTTGACGTGTGAGTTGACACGTGAGTTGTCGAGTGAGTTGACGCGTGAGTTGATGTGTGAGTTGTCGTGTGAGTTGCCGCGTAAGTTGACGCGTGAGTTGACACGTGAGTTGACGCGTGAGTTGCCGCGTGAGTTGCCGCGTGAGTTGACGCGTGAGTTGACGCGTGAGTTGATGTGTGAGTTGCCGCGTGAGTTGACGCGTGAGTTGACGTGTGCGGTTGACGTGTGAGTTGACACGTGAGTTGACGCGTGAGTTGTCGTGTGAGTTGACACGTGAGTTGACGTGTGAGTTGACGTGTGAGTTGCCGTGTGAGTTGACGCGTGAGTTGACGCGTGAGTTGTCGCGTGAGTTGACGCGTGAGTTGACGTGTGAGTTGCCGCGTGAGTTACCGTGTGAGTTGCCGTGTGAGTTGCTGCGTGAGTTGACGCGTGAGTTGACGCGTGAGTTGATGTGTGAGTTGCCGCGTGAGTTGCCGCGTTAGTTGACGCGTGAGTTGTCGCGTGAGTTGCCGCGTGAGTTGACGCGTGAGTTGCCGCGTGAGTTGACGCGTGAGTTGTCGCGTGAGTTGCCGCGTGAGTTGACGCGTGAGTTGACGAGTGAGTTGTCGTGTGAGTTGACGCGTGAGTTGTCGCGTGAGTTGACGCGTGAGTTGCCGCGTGAGTTGACGCGTGAGTTGACGCGTGAGTTGACGCGTGAGTTGACGCGTGAGTTGACGAGTGCGTTGTCGTGTGAGTTGTCGTGTGAGTTGACGCGTGAGTTGACGCGTGAGTTGACGCGTGAGTTGCCGCGTGAGTTGACGTGTGAGTTGTCGAGTGAGTTGACGCGTGAGTTGTCGAGTGAGTTGACGCGTGAGTTGACGCGTGAGTTGACGCTTGAGTTGACGCGTGAGTTGACGCGTGAGTTGACGCGTGAGTTGTCGTGTGAGTTGACACGTGAGTTGACGAGTGAGTTGACGCGTGAGTTGTCGTGTGAGTTGACACGTGAGTTGACACGTGAGTTGACGCGTGAGTTGCCGCGTGAGTTGCCGAGTGAGTTGCCGAGTGAGTTGACGAGTGAGTTGACGCGTGAGTTGACGCGTGAGTTGACGCGTGAGTTGACGCGTGAGTTGACGCGTGAGTTGACGAGTGAGTTGACGCGTGAGTTGACACGTGAGTTGACACGTGAGTTGACGCGTGAGTTGACGCGTGAGTTGACGCGTGAGTTGCCGCGTGAGTTGACGCGTGAGTTGACGAGTGAGTTGACGTGTGAGTTGTCGAGTGAGTTGACGCGTGAGTTGACGCGTGAGTTGTCGAGTGAGTTGATGTGTGAGTTGACGCGTGAGTTGCCGAGTGAGTTGCCGAGTGAGTTGACGAGTGAGTTGACGCGTGAGTTGACGCGTGAGTTGACGCGTGAGTTGCCGAGTGATTTGCCGAGTGAGTTGACGAGTGAGTTGACGCGTGAGTTGACGCGTGAGTTGACGCGTGAGTTGACGCGTGAGTTGACGCGTGAGTTGACGAGTGAGTTGACGCGTGAGTTGACACGTGAGTTGACGCGTGAGTTGACGCGTGAGTTGATGTGTGAGTTGACGCGTGAGTTGCCGCGTGAGTTGACGCGTGAGTTGACGTGTGAGTTGTCGAGTGAGTTGTCGAGTGAGTTGACGCGTGAGTTGACGCGTGAGTTGTCGAGTGAGTTGACGCTTGAGTTGACGAGTGAGTTGACGTGTGAGTTGCCGCGTGAATTGCCGTGTGAGTTGCCGCGTGAGTTGACGCGTGAGTTGACGTGTGAGTTGTCGTGTGAGTTGATGTGTGAGTTGTCGCGTGAATTGCCGAGTGAGTTGCCGCGTGAGTTGCCGCATGAGTTGACACGTGAGTTGACGCGTGAGTTGCCGCGTGAGTTGTCGCGTGAGTTGACGCTTGAGTTGATGTGTGAGTTGATGTGTGAGTTGCCGCGTGAGTTGACGCGTGAGTTGACGTGTGAGTTGTCGTGTGAGTTGATGTGTGAGTTGTCGTATGAGTTGATGTGTGAGTTGTCGCGTGAATTGCCGAGTGAGTTGCCGCGTGAGTTGACGCGTGAGTTGCCGCGTGAGTTGCCGCGTGAGTTGACGCGTGAGTTGACACGTGAGTTGACACGTGAGTTTCCGCGTGAGTTGCCGAGTGAGTTGCCGAGTGAGTTGACGAGTGAGTTGACGCGTGAGTTGACGCGTGAGTTGACGCGTGAGTTGACGTGTGAGTTGACGCGTGAGTTGCCGCGTGAGTTGACGCGTGAGTTGACGAGTGAGTTGACGTGTGAGTTGTCGAGTGAGTTGACGCGTGAGTTGACGCGTGAGTTGTCGAGTGAGTTGACGTGTGAGTTGACGCGTGAGTTGCCGAGTGAGTTGCCGAGTGAGTTGACGAGAGAGTTGACGCGTGAGTTGACGCGTGAGTTGACGCGTGAGTTGCCGAGTGAGTTGCCGAGTGAGTTGACGAGTGAGTTGACGCGTGAGTTGACGCGTGAGTTGACGCGTGAGTTGACGCGTGAGTTGACGTGTGAGTTGACGAGTGAGTTGACGCGTGAGTTGACACGTGAGTTGACACGTGAGTTGACGCGTGAGTTGATGCGTGAGTTGCCGCGTGAGTTGACGCGTGAGTTGACGCGTGAGTTGTCGAGTGAGTTGTCGAGTGAGTTGACGCGTGAGTTGACGCGTGAGTTGTCGAGTGAGTTGACGCTTGAGTTGACGAGTGAGTTGACGTGTGAGTTGCCGCGTGAATTGCCGTGAGTTGCCGCGTGAGTTGACGCGTGAGTTGACGTGTGAGTTGTCGTGTGAGTTGATGTGTGAGTTGTCGCGTGAATTGCCGAGTGAGTTGCCGCGTGAGTTGCCGCGTGAGTTGACTCGTGAGTTGACGCGTGAGTTGCCGCGTGAGTTGTCGCGTGAGTTGACGCTTGAGTTGATGTGTGAGTTGATGTGTGAGTTGCCGCGTGAGTTGACGCGTGAGTTGACGTGTGAGTTGTCGTGTGAGTTGATGTGTGAGTTGTTGTGTGAGTTGATGTGTGAGTTGTCGCGTGAATTGCCGAGTGAGTTGCCGCGTGAGTTGACGCGTGAGTTGACGCGTGAGTTGACGCGTGAGTTGATGTGTGAGTTGACGCGTGAGTTGATGTGTGAGTTGTCGTGTGAGTTGACGCGTGAGTTGATGTGTGAGTTGTCGTGTGAGTTGACGCGTGAGTTGACGCGTGAGTCAACGTTTGACAGAAACTGGGCATCTGCAAAACGGAGGCCGACTCTCTGACGAGCGAGGAGGTGACCCGGTTCGCTCGCCTGGACATTGACCCCGACACGGTGACCTGGAATAGAGGTCAGAGGTCACACTCCTGCAGTGCCTCTGCACACACGCGTGTGTCTGTGTGCGTGCGCGAGGAGCGGTGGGGTAGCGGTTAGCGCACTGCACTACGAACCCGGCGACCCGAGTTCGATTCCCGCTCACGGCCAACGCCGGTGACAATGATCAGATCCGGTCCTAAGCCTTCCCTAGGTCGACTCAGCCTCGAATGAATACCTGATGCGGTGTGTAAACATCACCACCGGGGAGACAAAGGTGGCCGGGCGTGGTGCTGGCCACGCTTGTACCTCCACGTGTACTAGGGTGCCGGCCTTCACAGGTGCTGCTCGCTAACAGCACTTGCCCCAACAGCCCCTGAACACTATGCGGGGGATCTTTGTCATTGTGTGCATGAGCCATGCACCAACTCACGCCTCCCCTGCCGTGCCATTCGAAGACTTGGCATGATTCTTAGCCGTGATTTGATTCACGGTTCAATTGCTGTGGTGTAGTCCGTGCACCTGCTTAATGTGTAGCGGTTAGCGCGCTGCGCTATGAACCTGGCGACCCGGGTTCGATTCCCGCTCACGGCCAACACCGGTGACGATTATCTGAACCGGTCCTGGGCCTACCCTAGGTCGACTCAGCCTCAAATGAGTACCTGATGCGGTGGATAAAAACATTGCCACTGGGGAGACTAAGGCGGTCGGGCGTGGTGCTGGCCACCCACCCCCTCGTGTACCGTTCCGGCCTTCATAGGTGCTCGCTAACAGCACTTGCCCCTACAGTCTGTTAAGGCTATACGGGGGATCTTTGTCTTTATTTTTGTTTGTGTGCGCATGTGTGTGCGCATGTGTGTGCGTGTTTGCGCGTGTGTTTGCGTGTGTGTTTGCGTGTGTGCGTGTGTGTGCATGTGTGCGTGTGTGTGTGTGCGTGTGTGTTTGCGTGTGTGTTTGCGTGTGTGTTTGCGTGTGTGTGCGTGTGTGCGTGTGTGTGCGTGTGTGTGCGTGTGTGTGTGCGTGTGTGTTTGCGTGTGTGTGTGTGTGTGCGTGTGTGTGCGTGTGTATGCATTCAGTCCTGGACACAAACGACCGGTACCTGCGCCAAGTGACCATCGGGCAGTCTCCTACCGAGAAAGGACACACAAGAGAGGTACGTGCGTGTGTGTGGCCTCAAGGTGCACATAGCCTGGCACAAGCGTCGTGGTGACATCACTGCCACTTAGTGGCGAGTGACGGTTATTGTTGTTGTGCGTGTGTGTTTTGTGCGTGTGTGCGCGTGTGTGTGCGTGTGTGTGCGTGTGCAGCGACTGATGGGGAGCGGTGGTGCAGTGGTTAGCACTACGAACCCGAGTTCGATTCTCACTTACGGCCAACACCGGTGACGATTATCTGAACCGGTTCTCTGGGCCTCCACTAGGTCTACTTAGCCTGAAATTAATGTCTCGGGAGACAAAGGCGGCCGGTCGTAGTGCTGGCAACCGCCCCTTCGTGTGCCGTGCCGGCCTTCTTAGGCGCTGCTACTCGCTGATGGCACTGGCCCCCCAACAGCCTCCTAGAGGCTACACGGTGGGAATCGTTGTCTTTTTGTGTGGTGGCAGCGATGCGTGTGGTGGTAGTGGTGGTGGTAGTGGTGTGTGGTGGTAGTGGTGTGTGGTGGTAGTGGTGTGTGGTGGTAGTGGTGTGTGTGGTTGTAGTGGTGTGTGTGGTGGTAGTGGTGCGTGTGGTGGTACGCTGTTCCAGCATCGGTGCATCCACACAACATCATGGATGCATGCCGGGTCCAAGCAAGAACATCTGCTGGACTACATAGTGACGGACCAGCGGATGCGAGCCCATGTCCTTGACATCAGGACCTACCGTGGAGCTGATCTGCCCTCTGACCATCGACTAGTCATCTGTAAGATGCGCCTGCCATTCTTCCACTCCGGTGGTGGGTGTACACCCAGGACCCCATTCCGACCTAAAGTGGCCTGGTCTCAGTTATCTGATGAAAGTTGCAAGCGAGAATTTCATCATCGCTTGCGGCTGGGATTGGCGAGGTTTAGGACTATGACTCATGCAGCTGCAATGGCTGCTTTGGGTATGCGGTCCAGACCTCTCCAGAGACCCTGGCTGATAGAGGAGGTGTTCAGGATGGTTGAGAAAAAGCGACAGGCACATTGTCATCGACTACAGAATCCCACGTCAGAGAATGAGGAGGCTTACCGCAGCCTTCGCTCGGAGGTTCGGAGAACCGTGAGGCGCTGCAAGGATGGGTGGTGGTCGCGGGTTGCTGAGGAGATGGAGTCTGCCTCAGTGGCCCATGATCACAAATCTCTATTTAACTCCATAAAAAAGTAACCTGCAGCGCCACACCTATTACCATCATTAGGGGAAAAAAACGGTGATCCAATCTCCGACCCCCAGGAACAGGTTTGCAGATTTGCTGAGCATTTCTGTGAGGTCCTGGGGGAGGGAAAATCCCTCAGCCAGGAAAACATCGTGGCACAAAGTGAGGATGACCCTGCTGAGGCTGCGGTGCCTCAAATATTGGAAGAAGTCACCCCCTGTGAGTGGCTGGCTGAGGTGCCATCTGTTGAGGAAGTACTGAAGGCGATCCGGAGTCTGAGACCAGGAAAAGCAGCGGGCAGAGATGATCTCCCAAGCGAAATGCTGAGGAAGGGTGGCGTTTGTGCACAGACTGCCCTATATGACATCATAACAACGGTCTGGACCACTGGACGGGTTCCGCAGGATTGGAAGGATGCCCTGGTGGTCCCCCTCTTTAAGAAGGGGGACCGCACAGACTGTAACAACTACAGGGGCATCTCACTCCTCAGTGTGCCGGGAAAGGTCCTGGCATGGATTATTCAACATCGCCTTGCCAGGCATGCTGAGGAGAGGCTTGCGGAGCCCCAATGCAGTTTCAGGAAAGGGCAGTCCTGCACAGATGCCATATTTTCTGTCCGTCTGCTACAGCAGAGGTGTAGGGAATTCCAACAAGACCTACATCTCTGCTTTACTGACCTGGTCAAGGCCTATGATACCATCAGTAGGCCTGGGCTATGGGTTGTTATTCGTGCTTTTGGAGTACCTGACCCTCTGCTCACGATCATTAAGGACCTTCATGATGGTGAGCGGGCCCGGGTAAAACTACGTGGCCGGGAGTCAGTGCCATTCCCTGTACACCTTGGGGTGCGACAGGGATGTCCTCTGGCTCCCACATTATTTAACATCTATTTTGACCACGTAGTTCGTGAAGTCTTCAATAGCTGTACCGGGGGAATCTCCATATGGTACAGATATAATGGGACGCTGATCGATGCCCGGGTGCGGTCAAGGGATGGCTCCCTATTGCTCAACCACGTTATGTATGCCGATGATTTGGTAATAGCTGCTCATTCAGAGGAGGAGTCGGAGACGCTGCTGCTGAGACTGGAGTGTGCCACTAAGAGATGGGGCCTTACCATCAGTCCCACCTAAACTAAGCACCTGCCTGGGTATTTTGTACCATCGGACACTCCACCCCCGCAACTCCCAATCGGTGATGGGGCAGTTGTGGAGACAGTGGAGAGTTTCCCATACCTGGGCAGTGTGCTTATGACTGGCTCCAGTTTAACAGCAGAGGTCTCACTCCGAATCAGTCGAGCGGCAATATCTTTTCATCGGTTGCAAAACGCTGTGTGGAAGCTACCTGGTCTGTCGCTCCACACTAAGCTTCAGGTCTTCTCGGCCACGGTCATTCCCTCCCTTCTCTACGTTTGCGAAACGTGGACCCCCCTAATTGAACATCTTCGCCGGTTAGAAACATTTAGGCTAGCCTGACTACGATCCATCCTGGGTTTAACCAGGCTGGATTGTGTGAGGAGCTCACCAATCTTTGAAATATCTGGGCAAGGCCCCATCGGTGAGCTCCTCCGGCAGGCAAGGCTGCGTTGGCTGGGTCATGAAGCCCGCATGCCCAGCCACCGCATGCCGAAACAGCTTTTGTTCGGCCGGATCGAGGGGGCTAAACAGGCGCGGCACGGGCGAGAGAAGAGATGGAGTGATGTGGTACAGGAGGACGTGGAGCTGAGTGGACTTGCCGATGACTGGTACCAGCGGTGTCAAGATCGGCCTCTGTGGAGGAGGTTCATGAAGGATGCTACTGGGCAGTTGGAGGTAGTCGCCCTCCAACAACAACGGAGGGCGGTGGAGCGACGCTCACAACAACGAGCGGAGCGCCAGGTGGCTAAAGCACAGCAGGTTGTTACAGTAGGGGGCACAGGTGGTGCATCAGCCAGTCATCTCAGTCATCTTAGTCAGTTGACCCGTGGCACTTGGGTCTGCCCCGTGACCTCCTGCCCGCGGGCGTTCGACACTTCACGTGGCCTCAAGGTGCACATGGCCTGGCACAAGCGTCGTGGTGACGTCACCGCCACTTAGTGGCGAATGGCGGTTGTTGTTGTTGTAGTGTGTGCTGGTAGTGGTGTGTGTAGTGGTGTGTGTAGTGGTAGTGGTGTGTGGTGGTAGTGGTGTTTATGGTGGTAGTGGCGTGTGGTGGTAGTGGTGTGTGCGGAGCACCGGGCGGCTAGAACACAGCAAGTTGGCACAGTAGGGGGCACAGTAGGGGGCACCAGGGGGGGTGCATCGGCCACTCGTCTCAATGAACCCATGGCAGCTACTGGGTCTGTCCCGTGACCTCCTGCCATCGACGCTTCTTGTTGTTGTTGTTCTTGTTGTGTGTGGCGGTGCGGTGGCGGTGTGCGTGTTGCTTGCAGGGCGACTGGTAGTGTAGCGGTAGTGTAGCGGGCAGCGTAACTCGCTATCGAACCCGGCGACCCGAGTTCGGTTCCCTCTCGCAGCCAACACCGGTGACGTTATTTGAACCGGTCAACCCATGGCACCTGCTGTGACCTCCTGCCAGAGGCGAGAGCCTTCGACACGTCACGTGTCGTAACTCGGAGCGGAACACGACGACCCCTTGACCCGCGACCCCCCCGACCCCGCGTGCCGCACCGCAGACCCGGTTCGACATCGCGGTGGCGAGCGAGATCATGGCGATCCTGGCTCTCGCCGGCGGCCTGGGCGACATGCGCGAGCGTCTGGCCCGCATGGTGGTGGCGACGAGCCGCAGCGGGGAGCCCGTCACCGCAGAGGACCTGGTACGACGACACAATCGCGGTGACCCCACGCGGTGACTAACACGGCAACTAACACGGCAACTAACACGGCAACTAACACGGCAACTAACACGGTGACTAACACGGCAACTAACACGTCAACTAACATGTCAACTAACACGTCAACTAACACGTCAACTAACACGTCAACTAACACGTCAACTAACACGGCAACTAACACGTCAACTAACGCGGTGACTAACACGTCAACTAACACGGCAACTAACACGTCAACTAACACGTCAACTAACACGGCAACTAACACGGCAACTAACGCGGTGACTAACACGTCAACTAACACGGCAACTAACACGTCAACTAACACGTCAACTAACACGGCAACTAACACGGCAACTAACACGGCAACTAACGCGTCAACTAACGCGGCAACTAACACGGCAACTAACACGGCAACTAACACGGCAACTAACACGGCAACTAACACGGCAACTAACACGTCAACTAACACGGCAACTAACACGGCAACTAACACGGCGACTAACACGGCGACTAACACGGCGACTAACACGGCGACTAACACGTCAACTAACACGTCAACTAACACGGCAACTAACACGTCAACTAACACGTCAACTAACACGGCAACTAACACGTCAACTAACACGTCAACTAACACGTCAACTAACACGGCAACTAACACGGCAACTAACGCGTCAACTAACACGTCAACTAACACGGCAACTAACGCGGCAACTCACACGGCAACTAACACGGCAACTAACACGGTAACTAACACGGCAACTAACACGGCAACTAACACGGCAACTAACGCGTCAACTAACGCGGCAACTAACACGGCAACTAACACGGCAACTAACACGGCAACTAACACGGCAACTAACACGGCAACTAACACGGCAACTAACACGGCGACTAACACGGCGACTAACACGGCGACTAACACGGCGACTAACACGGCGACTAACACGTCAACTAACACGTCAACTAACACGGCAACTAACACGTCAACTAACACGTCAACTAACACGGCAACTAACACGTCAACTAACACGTCAACTAACACGGCAACTAACACGTCAATTAACACGTCAACTAACACGGCAACTAACACGGCAACTAACACGTCAACTAACACGTCAACTAACACGTCAACTAACACGTCAACTAACACGGCAACTAACACGTCAACTAACGCGTCAACTAACGCGGCAACTAACATGTCAACTAACACGGCAACTAACACGGCAACTAACACGGCAACTAACACGTCAACTAACACGTCAACTAACACGGCAACTAACACGGCAACTAACACGGCAACTAACACGGCAACTAACACGGCAACTAACGCGGCAACTAACGCGTCAACTAACGCGGCAACTAACACGGCAACTAACACGGCAACTAACACGGCAACTAACACGGCAACTAACACGGCGACTAACACGGCGACTAACACGGCGACTAACACGGCGACTAACACGGTGACTAACACGTCAACTAACCCGTCAACTAACACGGCAACTAACACGTCAACTAATACGTCAACTAACACGGCAACTAACACGCCAACTAACACGTCAACTAACACAGCAACTAACACGTCAACTAACACGTCAACTAACACGTCAACTAACACGTCAACTAACACGTCAACTAACACGTCAACTAACACGGCAACTAACATGTCAACTAACACGTCAACTAACGCGGCAACTAACATGTCAACTAACACGTCAACTAACACGGCAACTAACACGTCAACTAACACGTCAACTAACACGGCAACTAACACGGCAACTAACACGTCAACTAACACGTCAACTAACACGGCAACTAACACGGCAACTAACACGTCAACTAACACGGCAACTAACGCGGCAACTAACATGTCAACTAACACGTCAACTAACATGTCAACTAACACGTCAACTAACATGGCAACTAACACGTCAACTAACACGGCAACTAACACGGCAACTAACATGTCAACTAACATGTCAACTAACACGGCAACTAACATGTCAACTAACACGTCAACTAACACGTCAACTAACACGGCAACTAACACGGCAACTAACACGTCAACTAACACGGCAACTAACGCGGCAACTGACATGTCAACTAACACGGCACTAACACGTCAACTAACACGGCAACTAACACGGCAACTAACATGTCAACTAACACGTCAACTAACACGGCAACTAACACGGCAACTAACATGTCAACTAACACGTCAACTAACACGGCAACTAACACGGCAACTAACACGTCAACTAACACGTCAACTAACGCGGCAACTAACACGTCAACTAACACGTCAACTAACACGTCAACTAACACGGCAACTAACACGGCAACTAACATGTCAACTAACACGTCAACTAACGCGGCAACTAACATGTCAACTAACACGTCAACTAACACGGCAACTAACACGGCAACTAACATGTCAACTAACACGTCAACTAACACGGCAACTAACACGGCAACTAACATGTCAACTAACACAGCAACTAACATGTCAACTAACATGTCAACTAACACGTCAACTAACACGGCAACTAACACATCAACTAACACGTCAACTAACACGTCAACTAACACGTCAACTAACACGTCAACTAACACGTCAACTAACACAGCAACTAACACGTCAACTAACACGTCAACTAACATGTCAACTAACACAGCAACTAACACGGCAACTAACGCGGCAACTAACACGTCAACTAACGCGGCAACTAACACGGCAACTAACGCGGCAACTAACATGGCAACTAACACGTCAACTAACATGTCAACTAACACGTCAACTAACACGTCAACTAACACGGCAACTAACACGGCAACTAACATGTCAACTAACACGTCAACTAACGCGGCAACTAACATGTCAACTAACACGTCAACTAACACGTCAACTAACACGTCAACTAACACGGCAACTAACACGGCAACTAACATGTCAACTAACACGTCAACTAACGCGGCAACTAACATGTCCACTAACACGTCAACTAACACGGCAACTAACACGGCAACTAACATGTCAACTAACACAGCAACTAACATGTCAACTAACATGTCAACTAACACAGCAACTAACACGTCAACTAACACGGCAACTAACACGGCAACTAACACGTCAACTAACACGGCAACTAACACGTCAACTAACATGTCAACTAACACGTCAACTAACACGTCAACTAACACAGCAACTAACACGTCAACTAACACGTCAACTAACATGTCAACTAACACAGCAACTAACACGGCAACTAACGCGGCAACTAACACGTCAACTAACGCGGCAACTAACACGGCAACTAACGCGGCAACTAACATGGCAACTAACACGTCAACTAACATGTCAACTAACACGTCAACTAACACGTCAACTAACACGGCAACTAACACGGCAACTAACATGTCAACTAACACGTCAACTAACGCGGCAACTAACATGTCAACTAACACGTCAACTAACACATCAACTAACACGTCAACTAACACGGCAACTAACACGGCAACTAACATGTCAACTAACACGTCAACTAACGCGGCAACTAACATGTCCACTAACACGTCAACTAACACGGCAACTAACACGGCAACTAACATGTCAACTAACATGTCAACTAACACGGCAACTAACACGGCAACTAACATGTCAACTAACACGTCAACTAACACGGCAACTAACACGGCAACTAACATGTCAACTAACACAGCAACTAACATGTCAACTAACATGTCAACTAACACAGCAACTAACACGTCAACTAACACGGCAACTAACACGGCAACTAACACGTCAACTAACACGGCAACTAACGCGTCAACTAACGCAGCAACTAACTCGTCAACTAACACGTCAACTAACATGTCAACTAACACGGCAACTAACACGTCAACTAACGCGGCAACTAACACGTCAACTAACACGTCAACTAACACGGCAACTAACACGGCAACTAACGCGTCAACTAACACGTCAACTAACACGGCAACTAACGCGGCAACTAACGCGGCAACTAACACGTCAACTAACATGTCAACTAACACGTCAACTAACACGTCAACTAACGCGGCAACTAACACGTCAACTAACACGGCAACTAACTCGTCGACTAACGCGGTGACTAACACGTCAACTAACACGTCAACTAACACGTCAACTAACACGTCAACTAACACGTCAACTAACACGTCAACTAACGCGGCAACTAGCTCGTCAACTAACGCGGCAACTAACACGTCAACTAACACGTCAACTAACGCGGCAACTAACACGTCAACTAACACGTCAACTAACACGGCAACTAACACGTCAACTAACATGTCAACTAACACGGAAACTAACAAGTCAACTAACACGGCAACTAACGCGTCAACTAACACGTCAACTAACATGTAAACTAACACGTCAACTCGTACAGGGGCTCACGCTGAAACTAACACGTCAACGAACACGTCAACTAACACGTCAACTAACACGTCAACTAACACGTCAACTCGTACAGGGGCTCACGCTGAAACTAACACGTCAACTAACACGTCAACTAACACGTCAACTAACACGTCAACTCGTACAGGGGCTCACACTGCAACTAACACGTCAACGAACACGTCAACTAACACGTCAACTAACACGGCAACTAAGACGTCAACTCGTACAGGGACTCACGCTGAAACTAACACGTCAACTAACACGTCAACTAACACGTCAACTAACACGTCAACTCGTACAGGGGCTCACACTGCAACTAACACGTCAACGAACACGTCAACTAACACGTCAACTAACACGGCAACTAAGACGTCAACTCGTACAGGGGCTCACGCTGAAACTAACACGTCAACTAACACGTCAACTAACACGTCAACTAACACGTCAACTCGTACAGGGGCTCACACGTCAACTAACACGTCAACTAACACGTCAACTCGTACATGGGCTCACACGTCAACTAACACGTCAACTAACACGTCAACTAACACGTCAACTCGTACAGGGGCTCACGCTGAAACTAACAACAGTTGCTGCTGCTGCTTCACCGCCAATAGAGGCAAGACACCCGGCAGAGCCACAGACCGCGCCGCCTTCACGCTCATCATGGCAATGTGGAATTTTCACTTGGGATGGGAAGGAACGAGCAATTTTGGCGGGGGGTGGGGTCGGGGGGAGCACACGAGCCAATCAAACATTAGCAGTCCCCTGAACCCCAAATAGCCAATGATTCAATCATTCGTGAGCACTCGCCCTGACCAACTAGCCAATCAGACGCGAGCACTCGCACTTTCTCGAGCCCTGACCAACTAGCCAATCAGACGTGAGCACTCGCCCTTTCTCGAGCCCTGACCAACTAACCAATCGGATGCAAGTACTGGTCCTATCTCTAGCCCTGACCAACTAGCCAATCAGACGTGAGCACTCGCCCTTTCTCTAGCCCAGACCAACTAGCCAATCAACACGCGAGTACTCGCCCTATCTCTAGCCCTGATCAATTAACCAATCGGGCACGTCCTATGCCTTCGGCTACAGCTCCTCCGCACGGAAATCGCCGCTTCGTTTGCACTTTACATCCGTGGCGTCGCCTCGCCACCCACGCCCCCTTCCTCCCATGCCCCCCGCGCCCCCCCCGCCCCCTTACAGAGTCCCGATAACCCCTCCACACTCGTAGAACGGTGGCGTGGCCTTAACCCTCGCGCTCCGCTTACTGGACAATCTGTGAAGTAGAGCTTCACAGCCCGTCGGATTCCACCCGTCCGCCTGTGTCACCACCGCCGCCGTTGTTGTTGCAGGGGGTGAGCGGGGCCCTCGCGGTGCTCATGAAGGAGGCCATCAAACCCAACCTCATGCAGACGCTGCAGGTGAGGCCCACAGCGAAAGGCTCGCCGGGTCCCAGGACAAACGCCGCCTCGTTCGAGACGCAAACAACACCGCCCCTCCTCCTCCTGCCTTTGACATTCCTCCTCGAAGACACTTACAGAACAATCAGAACATCAGCGGGCCGATATGCAACACACACTACGGACCGCACAGTGAACCCATAGGGGGACATAGAGACACATAGAGACCCATAGAGGTGCATAGAGACTCACACAGGGACCCATAGAGCTACATTAAAGACACAAGCCACAGCAGTGCATTTGTGGCCATGCAACCCACACAGAGACACATAGAGACCCATAGAGATACATAGAGGTGAATAGAGACACACACAGAGACCCATAGAGACACATGGAGATACACAGATATACACACAGAGACACACAGAGACCCATAGAGACACATAGAGATACATAGAGATACATAGAGACACATATAGACACATAGAGACTCAAATGGACCCATAGAGATATATTAAAGACACAAGCCACAGGAGTGAGACTGTGGCCATGCAACCCACACTACGGACCCCACAGTGAACCCACTGTGGTCTGTGCAGGAGGTGGATGAGGAAGAGCGACAACAACTCTCTCCTCTCTCTCTCTCTCTCGCTGCTGAAGGCCTCTCGTCGTGGCCAGCTTCAGTCCTAGACATTGGCATCTGCCCTCTGATCGACAACATAACCACAAGTCGTTATGTTGGCTGAGAAAACTCGACGAGTTACGTTCGATTAAAAACGTCGCTATGTAGTCTCTGCCGTGCCGGATGTGCGTACAAGGCAAGAGCTTGCTGCTGCTGCTGCTGCTGTCTTTGTTGTTCGTTGGGGGGAGTTTTGTGTCTCTTGTCCGACGACGCGCGTCTGCGGCCCCCGCAGGGAAGCCCGGTGTTCGTCCACGCGGGCCCCTTCGCGAACATCGCCCACGGCAACTCCTCGGTGCTGGCCGACAAGATCGCCCTCAAGCTGGTGGGAGAGCAGGGCTTCGTGGGTACGCTCTTAACAACTGCCACCCACAACCCCTCGGCCCCGTAGCCTATAACACCTGCTGACGACGCACAGTGGTGACCCATCCACGCGCCATCCGGTCTCAACCCCACCTCCTTGGCGTCTGAGAGGCGATGGGACCGGGCAGTGCATCCCGAGCGGTTCGGTCTTAGGCCTAACCAGGGTCAAATCCTAAACTAAAAATATATTTTTATTTTACCGGGTATGACCAACTGAGCTACAGTGAGGGAAAAAGTATTTGATCCCCTGCTGATTTTGTACGTTTGCCCACTGACAAAGAAATGATCAGTCTATAATTTTAATGGTAGGTTTATTTGAACAGTGAGAGACAGAATAACAACAACAAAATCCAGAAAAACACATCAAAAATGTTATAAATTGATTTGCATTTTAATGAGGGAAATAAGTATTTGACCCCCTCTCAATCAGAAAGATTTCTGGCTCCCAGGTGTCTTTTATACAGGTAACATGCTGAGATTAGGAGCACACTCTTAAAGGGAGTGCTCCTAATCTCAGCTTGTTACCTGTATAAAAGACACCTGTCCACAGAAGCAATCAATCAATCAGATTCCAAACTCTCCACCATGGCCAAGACCAAAGAGCTCTCCAAGGATGTCAGGGACAAGATTGTAGACCTACACAAGGCTGGAATGGGCTACAAGACCATTGCCAAGCAGCTTGGTGAAAAGGTGACAACAGTTGGTGCGGTTATTCGCAAATGGAAGAAACACAAAAAAACTGTCAATCTCCCTCGGCCTTGGGCTCCATGCAAGATCTCACCTCGTGGAGTTGCAATGATCATGAGAACGGTGAAGAATCAGCCCAGAACTACATGGGAGGATCTTGTCAATGATCTCAACGCAGCTGGGACCATAGTCACCAAGAAATCAATTGGTAACACACTACGCCGTGAAGGACTGAAATCCTGCAGCGCCCGCAAGGTCCCCCTGCTCAAGAAAGCACATATACATGCCCATCTAAAGTTTGCCAATGAACATATGAATGATTCAGAGGACAACTGGGTGAAAGTGTTGTGGTCAGATGAGACCAAAATGGAGCTCTTTGGCATCAACTCAACTCGCCGTGTTTGGAGGAGGTGGAATGCTGCCTATGACCACAAGAACACCATCCCCACCGTCAAACATGGAGGTGGAAACATTATGCTTTGGGGGTGTTTTTCTGCTAAGGGGACAGGACAACTTCACCGCATCAAAGAGACGATGGACGGGGCCATGTACCGTCAAATCTTGGGTGAGAACCTCCTTCCCTCAGCCAGGGCATTGAAAATAGGTCGTGGATGGGTATTGCAGCATGACAATGACCCAAAACACACGGCCAAGGCAACAAAGGAGTGGCTCAAGAAGAAGCACATTAAGGTCCTGGGGTGGCCTAGCCAGTCTCCAGACCTTAATCCCATAGAAAATCTGTGGAGGGAGCTGAAGGTTCGAGTTGCTAAACGTCAGCCTCGAAACCTTAATGACTTGGAGAAGATCTGCAAAGAGGAGTGGGACAAAATCCCTCCTGAGATGTGTGCAAACCTGGTGGCCAACTACAAGAAACGTCTGACCTCTGTGATTGCCAACAAGGGTTTTGCCACCAAGTACTAAGTCATGTTTTGCAGAGGGGTCAAATACTTATTTCCCTCATTAAAATGCAAATCAATTTATAACATTTTTGACATGCGTTTTTCTTGATTTAAATAAACCTACCACAAAAATTATAGACTGATCATTTCTTTGTCAGTGGGCAAACGTACAAAATCAGCAGGGGATCAAATACTTTTTTCCCTCACTGTACGTAGCTTTTTTTCGTAAGCGACCTGCCTATCATAAACTATAGCTCAACGGAGCGGCTCATCGTGGTGTGGAAATGTATATCAGCCAAATACTCTCAACGCGTTGTGATGCTGATTCTAAATGTGGAAGAGAAAACCGGAGGGCCCGGAGAAAAATCCACGCGGCCACGGGGAGAGACGCGCAAACTCCAAACACGCAGCAGGCGTCAGGGTCGGGATCGAAGCCGCGAGGTAGTTCACATCTCCCAGCCACCGTGGCGCTCGCGTGCCGGGCGACCGCTTGAGTCGGCGCAGGGGCGGGCGCCGCTCAAACGGGCGACGCAAAAAACGCCACCCCCCTCGTGCCCAGGCTCGGTCGGCTCGGTCCTCGGCCGGCGGTGTGCGAGGGGCGCGGAGGCCGTGGGTGGGGTGTGGGCGTGCGAATGAGCTCACCCCGGTAATGACTTCGCGGCCCCGGCGACGGACCACCTCGCTTGAAGGATCGTCGCTTCCCGTCGCTCTTCTTTCTTTTCTTCCACGCCAGTGACGGAGGCCGGTTTCGGAGCCGACATCGGGCTCGAGAAATTCTTCAACATCAAGTGCCGCCTGTCGGGCCTCTGCCCCGACGCCGTGGTGCTGGTGGTCACCGTGCGGGCCCTCAAGATGCACGGCGGAGGCCCCAAGGTACCCAGCACGGGGTCGCCGCGGTCGCCGCGGTGACCGGTGGCGCGTGCACGGGCGATGCCGGGGTCCCCGTGGTAACCGGCGGAAGAGTTTCATTTTGCTGAACGCGTCGATTGGTTAATTCAGTTATTTATTGATCATGTGCCTGGTTGCCATGGTAACGCTCGCCACTTAACTTTCCTCAGGTGACTGTTGGTGCCCCGCTGCCTAAGGAGTACACGGAGGAGGTAGGGTGACAACGAACAATCTGCTGCTCCTCCACACGGAGTCCCGGCGTGTCCCAGACTGCCTGTGCGTCTGTTTGGCTGACTGTCTGGCTGCCTGTGTGTGCGTGTCTGTCAGGCTGGCTGTGTGTGTCAGACTGTCTGGCTGTCTGTGTGTGTGCGTGTCTGTCAGGCTGGCTGTGTGTGTTAGTCTGACTGTCTAGCTGTCTGTGTGTGTCTGTCAGGCTGTCTGTGTGTGTCTGTCAGACTGTCTGGCTGTCTGTGTGTGCGTGTCTGTCAGTCTGTCAGGCTGTCTGTGTGTGTCTGTCAGACTGTCTGGCTGCCTGGGTGTGCGTGTCTGTCTGGCTGGCTGTCTGTGTGTGTCTGTCAGACTGTCTGTGTGTGTTAGTCAGACTGTCTGGCTGTCTGTGTGTGCGTGTCTGTCAGTCTGTCAGGCTGTCTGTGTGTGTCTGTCAGACTGTCTGGCTGGCTGTGTGTGTCTGTCAGACTTTCTGGCTGTCTGTGTGTGTCTGTCAGACTGTCTGTGTGTGTTAGTCAGACTGTCTGGCTGGCTGTGTGTGTCTGTCTGGCTGGCTGTGTGTGTCTGTCAGACTGTCTGGCTGTCTGTCTGTCAGACTGTCTGTCTGTCAGACTGTCTGGCTGTCTGTGTGTGCGTGTCTGTCAGGCTGGCTGTGTGTGTCTGTCAGACTGTCTGGCTGTCTGTGCGTGTCTGTCAGACTGTCTGTCTGTCAGACTGTCTGGCTGTCTGTCTGTCAGACTGTCTGGCTGTCTGTGTGTGCGTGTCTGTCAGGCTGGCTGTGTGTGTCTGTCGTGGGGAGCGGTAGTGTAGCGGTTAGCGCACTGCCCTATGAACCTGGCGACTCGGGTTTGATTCCCGCTCACGGCCAACACCAGTGACGATTATCTGAACCGGTCCTGGGCCTCCCCTAGGTCGACTCAGCCTCAAATGAGTACCTGGTGTGGTGTGTAAACATTGCCACTAGGGAGACAAAGGCGGTCGGGCGTGGTGCTGGCCACCCACCCCCTCGTGTACCGTTCCGGCCTTCATAGGTGCTGCTCGCTAACAGCACTTGCCCCTACAGTCTGTTAAGGCTATACGGGGGATCTTTGTCTTTTTTGTGTGTCTGTCAGGCTGTCTGTGTGTGTCTGTCAGACTGTCTGTGTGTCTGTCAGACTGTCTGGCTGTCTGTGCGTGTCAGACTGTCTGGCTGTCTGTGTGTGTCTGTCAGACTGTCTGGCTTTCTGTGAATCTGAATGTTTGTCGAGCTGTAGTCCAAACTGAGTTCGTATTTTCGGTGTTAACGCCACGCGATCTTTAACGCCCGCGACGTTGGCATGTCGACGGCGAGTACAACACCGCCGCTGTATTAACCGGGGCGGCCCGCACCGGGGTCCGAACCGCGAACGCCCGCGACGAGCGGCGAACGCGCAAACCGCCAGCCCGCGTCACCCCCCCAGCCCACCCCGCCCCCCACCCTCCCCCCCCGCCCCCCAGCCCCCCCCGCCCCCCACCCTCCGCCGCCCCCACCTCGATGCGCTCGCTCTGTCCGCAGGGCCTGGATCTGCTCGAGCGGGGATGCGCCAACCTCGTCAAGCACCTGCAGATCGCTCAGCTGTTTGGAGTGCCGGTGGTCGTCGCCATCAACGAGTTCACGTGAGCGGACGGGCAGCATGACGCGTGGGTGTCTACGTGTGTGTGCGTGTGGGTGTCTACGTGGGTGTCTACGTGTGGGTGTCTACGTGTGTGGGTGTCTACGTGTGTGTGCGTGTGGGTGTCTACGTGTGTGGGTGTCTACGTGGGTGTCTACGTGGGTGTCTACGTGTGGGTGTCTACGTGTGTGTGCGTGTGGGTGTCTACGTGGGTGTGTGTCTACGCGCGTGGCCACCCACCCCCTCGTGCGCCACAGTGCCGGCCTTCCCAGGAGCCGCTACTCGCTACTAACGCGTGCGACCTCCGCGTCTGCGAGCGTGTGCAGCACGGACACGCGGCGCGAGACCGCCCTGCTCGTGTCCGCGGCGCTGCGCGCCGGCGCCGCGGGGGCGCTGCGCTGCGCCGCGTGGCGCGGCGGCGGGGGGGGCGCGGCGGCCCTGGCCCAGGCCGTGGTGGAGGCGGCGACGCGGAGGCCGCGGGGCCGCCCCCGACTGCTTTACGACCTGCAGGTGACGCGAAGGCAAAGGTCGCCCGCCCCGCGCGTAGCCTCTAGCGGAGCGTCGGGGCAAGTGCCGTCGGTGGCGAGTAGCGGCGCCGCGTGGCGCCGCGCCCGACCGCCTTTGTCTCCCCAGCGCCGATGTTTTACCCGCCGCGCCAAGTACTCGCACGCACACGTGTGTATACACCAAAACACACGTGTGTATACGCGCACCAAAACACACGTGCACGCACTAAGACAAAGCTCCCCCGTGTGGCCTCAGCAGGCTGTTGGGGACAGTGCTGTTAGCGAGCGGTTATGAAGGCCGGCATGGCACACGAAGGGGTAAGGGTGGCCAGCACCACCCCCGGCCGCCTTTGTCTTTCTCGTGACGATGTTTACACACCGCTCCACACACGCGCGCACATACGCACACACACATACGCACACACACATGCGTACGTAATCATCTGAGTCGACACGCACACACACACATTGTGACGTGCCTTCTGGCCTGGTGCAGCTGCCCGTGGAGGAGAAGATCCGCGTCATCGCACAGAAGGTGTACGGCGCAGACGACATCTGCCTCTCGGAGGAGGCTCGCCGGAAGATCGAGCTCTACACTAAGCAGGTAGGGTATGGCTAGCGTGCATGTGTACCGTGTGTACAGCTGGTGGTGCATGTGTACCGTATGTACAGCTGGTGGTGCATGTTCACCGTGTGTACAGCTGGTGGTGCATGTTCACCGTGTGTACAGCTGGTGGTGCATGTTCACCGTGTGTACAGATGGTGGTGCATGTGTACCGTGTGTACAGCTGGTGGTGCATGTTCACCGAGTGTACAGCTGGTGGTGCATGTGTACCGTGTGTACAGCTGGTGGTGCATGTTCACCGTGTGTGCAGCTGGTGGTGCATGTTCACCGTGTGTACAGCTGGTGGTGCATGTTCACCGTGTGTACAGCTGGTGGTGCATGTTCACCGTGTGTACAGCTGGTGGTGCATGTTCCCCGTGTGTACAGCTGGTGGTGCATGTTCACCGAGTGTACAGCTGGTGGTGCATGTTCACCGTGTGTACAGATGGTGGTGCATGTGTACCGTGTGTACAGCTGGTGGGCTAGCGTGCATGTGTACTGTGGGTACAGCTCGTGGGCTAGCATGTGCATGTGTTAATGTGTACAGTGAGACAGGCACTTCATATCTGGCTGCACTGCGGATTCCCCTGCTTGTTCAAGTCCAGGTTTCTTTTCCTTCATCTGTCATCTTGCGACGTCACACATCACCCGCAGTGTGACGTTATCTCGTTGCGCGGCTCGAAGCCTAACGATATTATCGCTCGTTAAAGAGTTCCGACGGCAAACGCCCGTTGGTAACCATCACAGAGCCCATGCACTTGCATGATTTTTCTTCCCTGTTTTTAATATGCGCGAGTCTTCTTGTCCGCGTGCGTTGCGGTTGAATAGCGGTAGTGGAGCAGTTCGCGCGCTGCGCGACGAACCCATCAACCCCAGTTCGATTCCCGCTCACGGCCAACACCGGTGACGATTATCTGAACCGGTCCTGGGCATCCCCTAGGTCGACTCAGCCTCCAATGAGTACCTGGTTCAGTGTGCTGGCCACCCACCCCCTCGCGCGCCGTTCCGGCCTTCGCAGGCGCTACTCTAGCGGCACTTGCCGCTACAAGTCTGTTAAGGCTACACGGGTGATCTTCGTCTTTGTGTTTCCCCAGGGCTTTGCCGAGCTGCCCATCTGCATGGCCAAGACGCATCTGTCGCTGTCTCATCAGCCCGAGCTGAAGGGCGTCCCCAAGGGGTTCGTGCTGCCCATTCGTGACGTGCGTGCCAGCGTTGGGGCCGGCTTCCTCTACCCGCTCGTCGGCACCGTGAGGGCATGCGCGCAACACGTGTTCATACACACAAACGTGTTCACACACACACGTGTTCATACACACACACGTGTTCACACACACACACGTGTTCACACACACACACGTGTTCATACACACACACGTGTTCATACACACACACATGTTCACACACACACATGTGTTCACACACACGTGTTCATACACACACACGTGTTCATACACACACACGTGTTCATACACACACGTGTTCACACACACACGTGTTCACACACACGTGTTCACACACACGTGTTCACACACACACACGTGTTCATACACACACGTGTTCATACATACACGTGTTCATACACACACACGTGTTCATACACACACGTGTTCATACACACACACGTGTTCATACACACACACACGTGTTCATACACACACGTGTTCATACACACACGTGTTCATACACACACACACGTGTTCATACACACACACGTGTTCATACACACACGTGTTCATACACACGTGTTCATACACACACACGTGTTCATACACACACACGTGTTCATACACACACACGTGTTCATACACACACACGTGTTCATGCACACACACGTGTTCACGCACACGCACGAACGTGTTCACGCGCGCACACACACGTGCACAAACACACACGCGCACACACACGCGCACATGACAACAACAACCGCCATTCGCCACTAAGTGGCGGTGATGTCACCACGACGCTTGTGCCAGGCCATGTGCACCTTGAGGCCACGTGAAGTGTCGAACGCCCGCTGGCAGGAGGTCACGGGGCAGACCCAGTTGCCACGGGTCAACTGACTAGATGACTGGCTGATGCACCACCTGTGCCCCCTACTGTGCCAACCTGCTGTGCTTTAGCCACCCGGCGCTCTGCTCGTTGTTGTGAGCGTCGCTCCTCCGCCCTCCGTTGTTGTTGGAGGGCGACTGCCTCCAACTGCCCAGTAGCATCCTTCACGAGCCTCCTCCACAGAGGCCAATCTTGACACCGCTGGTAACAGTCATCGGCAAGTCCACTCAGCTCCACATCCTCCTGTACCACATCACTCCATCTCTTCTCTAGCCCATGCCGCGCCCGTTTAGCCCCCTTGATCCGGCCGAACAAAAGCTGTTTCGGCATGCGGTGGCTGGGCATGCGGGCTACATGATCCAGCCAACGCAGCCTTGCCTGCCGGAGGAGCTCACCGATGGGACCGTGCCCAGATCTTTCAAGGATTTGTGAGCTCCTCACACAATCCAGCCTGGTTAAATGTTTCTAACCGGCGAAGATGTTCCATTAGGGGGGTCCACGTTTCGCAAGCGTAGAGAAGGGAGGGAATGACTGTGGCCGAGAAGACCTGAAGCTTAGTGCGGAGCGACAGACCAGGTAGCTTCCACACAGCGTTAGGCAACTGATGAAAAGATATTGCCGCTCGATTGATTCGGAGTGAGACCTCTGCTGTTAAACTGGAGCCGGTCATAAGCACACTGCCCAGGTATGGGAAACTCTCCACTCTCTCCACAACTGCCCCATCACCGATTGGGAGTTGTGGGGGTGGAGTGTCCGATGGTACAAAATACCCAGGCAGGTGCTTAGTTCTGGTGGGGCTGATGGTAAGGCCCCATCTCTTAGTGGCACGCTCCAGTCTCAGCAGCAGCGTCTCCAACTCCTCCTCTGAATGAGCAGCTATTACCAAATCATCGGCATACATAACGTGGTTGAGCAATAGGGAGCCATCCCTTGACCGTACCCGGGCATCGATCAGCCTCCCCTTATATCTGTACCATATCGAGATTCCCCCGGTACAGCTATTGAAGGCTTCACGAACTACGTGGTCAAAATAGATGTTAAATAATGTGGGAGCCAGAGGACATCCCTGTCGCACCCCAAGGTATACAGGGAATGGCTCTGACTCCCGGCCACGTAGTTTTACCCGGGCCCGCTCACCATCATGAAGGTCCTTAATGATCGTGAGCAGAGGGTCAGGTACTCCAAAAGCACGAAGAACAACCCAGAGCCCAGGCCTACTGATGGTATCATAGGCCTTGACCAGGTCAATAAAGCAGAGATGTAGGTCTTGCTGGAATTCCCTACATCTCTGCTCTAGCAGACGGACAGAAAATATGGCATCTGTGCAGGACCGCCCTTTCCTGAAACCGCATTGGGGCTTCGCAAGCCTCTCCTCAGCGTGCCTGGCAAGGCGATGTTGAATAATCCTTGCCAGGACCTTTCCCGGCACACTGAGGAGTGAGATGCCCCTGTAGTTGTTACAGTCTGTGCGGTCCCCCTTCTTAAAGAGGGGGACCACCAGGGCATCCTTCCAATCCTGCGTAACCCGTCCAGTGGTCCAGACTGTTGTTATGATGTCATATAGGGCAGTCTGTGCACAAACGCCACCCTCCCTCAGCATTTCGCTTGGGAGATCATCTCTGCCCGCTGCCTTTCCTGATCTCAGACTCCGGATTGCCTTCAGTACTTCCTCAACAGATGGCACCTCAGCCAGCCACTCACTGGGGGTGACTTCTTCCAATATTTGAGGCACCGCAGCCTCAGCAGGGTCATCCTCACTTTGTGCCACGATGTTTTTCTGGCTGAGGGATTTTCCCTCCCCCAGGACCTCACAGAAATGCTCAGCAAATCTGCAAACCTGTTCCTGGGGGTCAGAGATTGGATCACCGTTTTTTCCCAAATGATGGTAATAGGTGTGGCGCTGCAGGTTACTTTTTTTATGAAGTTAAATAGAGATTTGTGATCGCGGGCCACTGAGGCAGACTCCATCTCCTCAGCAACCCGTGACCACCACCCATCCTTGCAGCGCCTCACGGCTCTCTGAACCTCCGAGCGAAGGCTGCGGTAAGCCTCCTGATTCTCTGACGTGGGATTCTGTAGACGATGACAGTGGGCCTGTCGCTTTTTCTCAACTATCCTGAACACGATTTAAAGCTTTCGTGACTGCAATGATTCATCTTCTTTGGTTCTTTCGGTAAAGTCACGAAGAATGAGAATAAAATAATAAATTGATAAAATAAAATAACACAATAATATTCTCACGACGTTTCGGCCACAACACAAGCGGCCTTCATCAGGTGAAGGGACGAGACTGTCTGGTAGGACAGCGCTGTCCTACCAGACAGTCTCGTCCCTTCACCTGATGAAGGCCGCTTGTGTTGTGGCCGAAACGTCGTGAGAATATTATTGTGTTATTTTATTTTATCAATTTATTATTTTATTCTCATTCTACGTGACTTTACCCAAAGAACCAAAGAAGATATCCTGAACACCTCCTCTGTCAGCCAGGGTCTCTGGGGAGGTCTGGACCGCGTGCCCAAAGCAGCCAATGCAGCTGCATGAGTGACAGTCCTAAACCTCGCCCATTTACCCTCGACATCCGGAGGAGTGGGGGACGATGCCAACCCCAGCCGCAGGCGATGATGGAATTCTCGCTTGCAACTTTCATCAGATAACTGAGACCAGGCCACTTTAGGTTGGAATGGGGTCCTGGGTGTACACCCACCACCGGAGCGGAAGAATGGCAGGCGCATCTTACAGATGACAAGTCGATGGTCAGAGGGCAGATCAGCTCCACGGTAGGTCCTGGTGTCAAGGACATAGGCTCGCATCCGCTGGTCCGTCACTATGTAGTCCAGCAGATGTTCTTGCTTGGACCCGGCATGCATCCATGATGTTGTGTGGATGCGCCGATGCCGGAACAGCGTGTTGGTAATTACAAGCCCATGGGCTGCACAAAAATCTAGCAGCCTCCTACCGTTGTTATTGAGCTGATCTGGCCCATGCCCTCCAATCACTCCAGACCAGGTGCCAGCATCATGGCCCACTCGGGCATTGAAGTCACCCAACAAGATGACTCTATCCCGAGGGGCCACTTTAGCCAGCACCTGTGACAGGCGGTCATAGAATCCATCTGACTCATCGGCTTTGCCTGCATCCCTCCACGGATGTTCGTCTTCGGTGACACGCGCACACACACGTGTTCACACGCGCACACACACACACGTGTTCACGCACGCATATACACCCACGCAGACACACGCTCACAAAAACAAAAGACAAATATCCATCTTATAGCCTTGGACTTTCGCGGCAGACTGAGCGCCTCTGAAGGTCGACACTTTGGCGCACGAGGGGGTGGGTGGTCAACACCACGCCAGGCCCCAACAGTCTGTTGGGGCTAAACGCTGAATCTTTGTGTGTCTGTGTGCAGTGGGGAGCGGAGGCACAGTGCTTAGCGCGCTGCACTGCGAACCCGATTCCTGCTCACGGCCAACATCAGTGACGATTATCTGAACTGGTCCTGGGCCTCCCCTAGATCGACTCAGCCTCAGATTAGTACCCGGTGCGGTGTGTAGACATCGCCACTTGGAGTCAAAGGCAGCCGAGCGTGGTGCCGGCCACCAAACCCCTCGTGTGCCGTTCCGGCCGATCATGGGCGCTCGCGAACAGCACTTCTTGCTCCAAAAGTCTGTTAAGGCTACACGGGGGGTGGTTGTTGTCTGTGTGTGTGGTGTGCAGATGAGCACCATGCCTGGGCTGCCGGTGAGGCCATGCTTCTACGACATCGACCTCGACCCGGACACGGAGGAGATCCACGGCATTTTCTAACCACACCCGTTATGGCCGACGGCACCACGTGACACCACGTGACTCCACGTGACACCACGTGACTCCACGTGATGCCACGTGACACCACGTGACGCCCCGCGTGACACCGTGTGACACCACGTGACACCACGTGACGCCCCGCATGACATCACGTGACGCCCCGCATGACATCACGTGACACCACGTGACACCCCGCATGACATCACGTGACGCCCCACATGACACCACGTGACACCACGTGACGCCCTGCATGACACCACGTGACGCCCCGCATGACATCACGTGACACCACGTGACACCCCGCGTACGACCCGTGGGACCGTCGCCGGCGGTTCCGTTCGGCGTCACCAGAATCGATTCGGCGTCACCAGAATCGATTCGGTTTTCGCGTCGTTTAAATTTGTCTGCCCAGTTTGTTTTGCCCGACTCGTTTTTAAATGTCCCGTTTGTAGTTTGAATTTGCACCGTCTCATTTGTATTGTCCGGCCGGTTTGTTTCCAATCTAGATTGGAAACTCATTTCTTCAGAGCTGCCTTTTGTGTTTAGTTTGTTGTCCTCCTGCACCTCCGATTAGCGCGGTTGGCTATGTACGGCGCAAAAGAAGTTCAACGTAAATACGTCGATGCGCATTGACCGACTCGTTTTTAATATCCCCTTGGCATTGTCTTGCAATTTGTGTCGCCTCATTGGCGTGTTGACCGTCTCATTGCCTCTACCTCGTTAGCACCGTCTCATCCGCGTTGTCTCCAGTTCCCCGTCTCGTGTGCACCGTGTATCTCCTGCCAGGTCTACATTGTGCCCCTTGCGCGCTGCGTTCTTCTGCCGGCAAAAGGCTCCCCCTCCGCCCCCCCCCCCACGTTTACCAGCGGGGGGGGGGGGGGGGGGGCCCGCACAGCGTCGCCGTCAACGCCGACAGAGTCCGGCAACAGCGCGTCGGCCCCCCCCCACCCACCCGGGCCAGGCCCGGTTGGCACCGCGCGCACGGAAATCGTTGCCCCCCCCCCCATCAGTGGTCCAAACGCGACTCACCCCGCTCCCTTGAGTTCTCACCACCTGGTGAACAAAACAAACTCGCAACACGTCGTCGCCCTCGCTCGCTCGCTCGACCTCGCTCGCTCAACCGCTCGCTCAACCGCTCGCTCGCTCGACCTCGCTCGCTCGACCGCTCGCTCAACCGCTCGCTCGCCCCTCGCTCGCTCGCTCGACCTCGCTCGGCCAGACTCCGCGTTCCCCACGCACGGCCGCTCTGACCCGGACCCCACCCCCCACCCGTGCCGCTCTCACTTTCATCCCTGGATCATTCACAAGACCGTCGAAACAAACACGGCCACGCTGTTACTTGTCTTGTTCATGCACCACGGCACGGCCGGGGCACATTCACTCTGCGTTGTGTCGAGTGTTGTGTCGAGTGTTGCATTGTGTCGAGTGTTGTGTCGTGTCGAGTGTTGTGTCGTGTAGAATGTTGTGTTGTGTAGAGTGTTGTGTCGTGTCGAGTGTTGTGTCGAGTGTTGTGTCGTGTCGAGTGTTGTGTCGTGTCGAGTGTTGTGTTGTGTCGAGTGTTGTGTCGAGTGTTGTGTTGTGTAGAGTGTTGTGTTGTGTAGAGTGTTGCGTTGTGTCGAGTGTTGCGTTGTGTAGAGTGTTGTGTCGTGTAGAGTGTTGTGTTGTGTCGAGTGTTGTGTTGTGTCGAGTGTTGTGTTGTGTCGAGTGTTGTGTAGAGTGTTGTGTTGTGTCGAGTGTTGCGTTGTGTCGAGTGTTGCGTCGTGTCGAGTGTTGCGTCGTGTCGAGTGTTGCGTTGTGTCGAGTGTTGTGTCGAGTGTTGCGTTGTGTCGAGTGTTGCGTTGTGTCGAGTGTTGCGTTGTGTCGAGTGTTGCGTTGTGTCGAGTGTTGCGTTGTGTCGAGTGTTGTGTCGAGTGTTGCGTTGTGTCGAGTGTTGCGTTGTGTCGAGTGTTGTGTCGAGTGTTGCGTTGTGTCGAGTGTTGCGTTGTGTCGAGTGTTGCGTTGTGTCGAGTGTTGCGTTGTGTCGAGTGTTGCGTTGTGTCGAGTGTTGTGTCGAGTGTTGCGTTGTGTCGAGTGTTGCGTTGTGTCGAGTGTTGTGTCGAGTGTTGTGTTGTGTCGAGTGTTGCGTTGTGTCGAGTGTTGCGTTGTGTCGAGTGTTGTGTCGAGTGTTGTGTCGTGTAGAGTGTTGCGTCGTGTAGAATGTTGCGTTGTGTCGAGTGTTGTGTCGAGTGTTGTGTCGTGTCGAGTGTTGTGTCGTGTAGAGTGTTGTGTCGTGTCGAGTGTTGTGTCGTGTCGAGTGTTGTGTCGTGTCGAGTGTTGCGTTGTGTCGAGTGTTGTGTCGAGTGTTGTGTCGAGTGTTGCGCTGTGCGTTGTGTCGAGTGTTGTGTTGTGTAGAGTGTTGTGTCGAGTGTTGTGTCGAGTGTTGCGCTGTGCGTTGTGTAGAGTGTTGTGTCGAGTGTTGTGTTGTGTCGAGTGTTGTGTTGTGTCGAGTGTTGTGTCGAGTGTTGCGTTGTGTGGAGTGTTGCGTTGTGTAGAGTGTTGTGTCGAGTGTTGTGTTGTGTCGAGTGTTGTGTTGTGTCGAGTGTTGTGTCGAGTGTTGCGTTGTGCGCCGTGTCGAGTTTTGTGTCCAACTCGGACCCACATCTCACGGAGCGCTCCTTGCCGATGAACATCTGGGCAGTTCACCAGCAGTGGTTCAAGTGGAGCCCGACTCTGCTGATGAGACACCGAATGTCGAAACCGGTTTCTCTGCTCGTGTTGAACCAACGCTGTTGTAATAAAACAAAATCACTCCCAGAAGGAAAGGCCGTGGCGGCCGATGGGAAGTGAAAAATTAAAATGCGTTTGACATTGGTGTTCCGACGTTATTTACGTGTTAAGTTTACCTTTATAAATATATTGTGCTTGTGCACCACTGCCGAACCAGTGCCGAAGAGCCCTCGGTTTGATCTTGCACGAAGCTGCTCATGGTCCACTCCAAACCACATCCACCGCACAAACCATGGCAGTAGATGGGGAAATGTGAAACTCTCCAGCAGTAGCGGTGCGACTGTGGCCATCCAGAACAGAGACCTACACAACGTGGGACGATGAAATGCCTGATCCACAAATACGAAGGAGACGTCATCACAGCTACGACGATGATGATGACACACGACTCCGCTACTGCTCCTGACGCGGTAGTCTGCTGGTTTCACCACCTGAGTGTCACGTGGTAGTCTGCTGGCTTCACCACCTGAGTGTCACGTGGTAGTCTGCTGGCTTCACCACCTGAGTGTCACGTGGTAGTCTGCTGGCCTCACCACCTGAGTGTCACGTGGTAGTCTGCTGGCTTCACCACCTGAGTGTCACGTGGTAGTCTGCTGGCTTCACCACCTGAGTGTCACGTGGTAGTCTGCTGGCTTCACCTGAGTGTCACGTGGTAGTCTGCTGGCCTCACCACCTGGGTGTGACGTGGTAGTCTGCTGGTTTCACCACCTGGGTGTGACGCGGTAGTCTGCTGGCTTCGCCACCTGAGTGTCACGTGGTAGTCTGCTGGCTTCACCACCTGAATGTCACGTGGTAGTCTGCTGGCTTCACTACCTGAGTGTCACGTGGTAGTCTGCTGGCTTCACCTGAGTGTCACGTAGTAGTCTGCTGGCTTCACCACCTGAGTGTCACGTGGTAGTCTGCTGGCTTCACCACCTGGGTGTGACGTGGTAGTCTGCTGGCTTCGCCACCTGAGTGTCACGTGGTAGTCTGCTGGCTTCACCACCTGGATGTGACGTGGTAGTCTGCTGGCTTCACCACCTGAGTGTCACGTGGTAGTTTGCTGGCTTCACTACCTGAGTGCCACGTGGTAGTCTGCTGGCTTCAGCACCTGAGTGTCACGTGGGAGTTTGCTGGCTTCACCACCTGAGTGTCACGTGGTAGTCTGCTGGCTTCACCACCTGAGTGTCACGTGGTAGTCTGCTGGCTTCACCACCTGAGTGTCACGTGGTAGTCATCCAGAACAGAGACCTACACAACGTGGGACGATGCAATGCCCCGATCAACAAATACGAAGGAGACATCATCACAGCTACGACGATGATGATGACACACGACTCCGCTACTGCTCCTGACGCGGTAGTCTGCTGGTTTTACCACCTGAGTGTCACGTGGTAGTCTGCTGGCTTCACCACCTGAGTGTCACGTGGTAGTCCGCTGGCTTCACCACCTGAGTGTCACGTGGTAGTCTGCTGGCCTCACCACCTGAGTGTCACGTGGTAGTCTGCTGGCTTCACCACCTGAGTGTCACGTGGTAGTCTGCTGGCTTCACCACCTGAGTGTCACGTGGTAGTCTGCTGGCTTCACCTGAGTGTCACGTGGTAGTCTGCTGGCCTCACCACCTGGGTGTGACGTGGTAGTCTGCTGGTTTCACCACCTGGGTGTGACGCGGTAGTCTGCTGGCTTCGCCACCTGAGTGTCACGTGGTAGTCTGCTGGCTTCACCACCTGAATGTCACGTGGTAGTCTGCTGGCTTCACCACCTGAGTGTCACGTGGTAGTCTGCTGGCTTCACCTGAGTGTCACGTAGTAGTCTGCTGGCTTCACCACCTGAGTGTCACGTGGTAGTCTGCTGGCTTCACCACCTGGGTGTGACGTGGTAGTCTGCTGGCTTCGCCACCTGAGTGTCACGTGGTAGTCTGCTGGCTTCACCACCTGGATGTGACGTGGTAGTCTGCTGGCTTCACCACCTGAGTGTCACGTGGTAGTTTGCTGGCTTCACTACCTGAGTGCCACGTGGTAGTCTGCTGGCTTCAGCACCTGAGTGTCACGTGGTAGTTTGCTGGCTTCACCACCTGAGTGTCACGTGGTAGTCTGCTGGCTTCACCACCTGAGTGTCACGTGGTAGTCTGCTGGCTTCACCACCTGAGTGTCACGTGGTAGTTTGCTGGCTTCACCACCTGAGTGTCACGTGGTAGTCTGCTGGCTTCACCACCTGAGTGTCACGTGGTAGTCATCCAGAACAGAGACCTACACAACGTGGGACGATGCAATGCCCCGATCAACAAATACGAAGGAGACATCATCACAACTACGACGACGATGATGATGACACACGACTCCGCTACTGCTCCTGACGCGGTAGTCTGCTGGTTTCACCACCTGAGTGTCACGTGGTAGCCTGCTGGCTTCACCACCTGAGTGTCACGTGGTAGTCTGCTGGCTTCACCACCTGAGTGTCACGTGGTAGTCTGCTGGCTTCACCACCTGAGTGTCACGTGGTGGGGGTACGGGAGGGTATAATATTGTATTATATAGTAGTCCAGTTTATAGCATAGTCATAATGCAACTCAGGACACAGCAGCGCACCTTGGCTGTTTCTATTGTTGTTATTTTGTGGTTTTTTAATCTTTTCCCCCCCTTTTTTGTCTGTTCCCAGCCCCCTCCGCTCTGGAGGTGGGGCTGGTAACATGCTAATTCAACTCCGCCCACACAGCTTTAAAACGACTCGCTCCTTGCTTGACAGCGTTCAATCAAGCTCCGTCTTCTGGATAGACCTGTTTCTTCACCTGAAGAAGGCCACTTGTGTTGTGGCCGAAACGTCGTGAGAATTTTATTATTTTATTATCATTTTATTTCTATTCTACGTGACTTTACCGAAAGAACCAAGAAGATGAATCCCTGCAGTCACGAAAGCTTTAAATCGAAATTGTTATTATTGTTTTGTGTCGTGGTCGCGAGCCCTCCCCCCCCAAAACCCCACCCCTCCATCTCTCCCCAATCCCTCCCCAATTCTACCCCCCACACCGCCAATCTCCCCCCCACCCTCAAACCCCCCCCACCCCAACCCCCCCCCACCGCCAATCTCCCCCCCCACCCCAAACCCCCAACCCCCCCCCCCCACCGCCAATCTCCCCCCCACCCCCAAACCCACCCCCAAACCCCCCCACCCTCAAACCCCCCCACCCCCAAACCCCCCCCATCGCCAATCTCCCCCCCAACCCCCCACCCCACCCCCCTCTCAATCTCCCTCCCGCCCCAAAACGCCTTCGCCTCCATCCCCGAATCTCCCGCCCCCTATGCCACGCCCCCTATGCCCCGCCCTCTATGCCACGCCCCCTACGCCCCCGCCCCCTATGCCCCGCCCCTCCCCCCAGCTTCCGCGCCCCGCCCCCCAGCACGGCGAAGGAGACTTCGGGGTCGCAGCGCCAGGCGAAGGTAACGCGGCGCACCGCTCCACTGCTGGATGAGAGACTCCTTGTCGTATAACACATACTTTATGTATAGATACCTTATACATAGATACATTATATATAACATACATTATATAAGTTATAATTATATAAGATACGTTATGTAGATCGTCACTTCATCCGGAGGCCGCTCGACTCCGATTGCCATACTGCCCGCACGCACGTGTGGTGGGCTCGCGAGTCGCGGGGTCAAGGGCAGGGCAGCACAGGAGTACAGTACAGGGCAGCACAGGAGTACAGTACAGGGCAGCACAGGAGTACAGTACAGGGCAGCACAGGAGTACGGTACAGGGCAGCACAGGAGTACAGTACAGGGCAGCACAGGAGTACGGTACAGGACAGCATAGGAGTACAGTACAGGGCAGCACAGGAGTACAGTACAGGGCAGCACAGGAGTACAGTACAGGACAGCATAGGAGTACAGTACAGGGCAGCACAGGAGTACAGTACAGGGCAGCACAGGAGTAAGGTACAGGGCAGCATAGGAGTACGGTACAGGGCAGCATAGGAGTACGGTACAGGGCAGCATAGGAGTACGGTACAACCGTGGGCCGCGGCTGCTCTTGCTGCTGCCCTCCCGTGCCGGAGGCTGCAAGGCAGCCCCGCAGCGAGCGAGGCAGGGAAGGGGGGGGGCAGGGAAGGGGGGGGGGGGCAGGGAAGGGGGGGGGAGGCTTTGCCTGCGTCTCACCGAGTCGGGGACACGAGTCGGTGGTGGTCGTCTCAGCTAGAGAGATTGGAGTCTTTGTGCAAGGGGAGCGGCGACGTTGGCTGGGGTTGTGATGATGTTGGTGTTGCCGACACCGCCGAGAGCCCAGGGACGAGGAGGTGCTGCTGCCCTGCCGCGCGTCACTCGTAGCGCGGAGTCGGTTGGCGACGTAGGGCGCGAAAGAAGTTCGACTCGCTGGCGGAGACGGCACGCCGGCTCCCAGCCACCTACGAGCCCGCAAGGGTTCACACAGGACACTGACAAGGCGACGGAGCTCAGACGAACCTCCTCTTTCATAGTCCACCCTCTGCCTTCATAGTCCACCCTCTGCCTTCATAGTCCACCTTCATAGTCCACCCTCTGCCTTCATAGTCCACCTCTGTCATAGTCCACCCTCTGCCTTCATAGTCCACCTCTTTCATAGTCCACCCTCTGCCTTCATAGTCCACCTCTTTCATAGTCCACCCTCTGCCTTCATAGTCCACCTCTTTCATAGTCCACCCTCTGCCTTCATAGTCTACCTCTTTCATAGTCCACCCTCTGCCTTCATAGTCCACCTCTTTCATAGTCCACCCTCTGCCTTCATAGTCCACCTCCTCCTCCTGCTGCGGGCAGCCTGCTCTGACTGCCCCGCCGCTACTCCCGGGGGCCCAAATCTGCGCAGGCTCCGTGCGAGCCCCCTAGGCCGTGACGTGGACCGTGACGTAGACCGTAATGTAGACCGTAATGTAGACCGTGACGTGGTCCGTGACGTAGACCGTGACGTTGGACCGTGACATAGACCGTGACGTGATCCGTGACGTAGCCCGTGACGTAGTCCGTTACGTAGTCAGTGACGTAGCCCGTGACGTAGTCAGTGACGTAGACCGTGACGTGGACTGTGACAGACCGTGACGTGGTCCGTGACGTAGACCGTGACGTAGTCCGTGACGTGGACGGTGACGTAGACCGTGACGTGGACCGTGACGTGGTCCGTGACGTGGTCCGTGACGTGGACCGTGACGTGGTCCGTGACGTGGCCGTGACGTGGACCGTGACGTAGACTGTGCTATATATTGGCGCAGAGATGTAGAATGTGGTATATAATGCACTATAGACTGGTTTAGAGTTCTAGGCTGCTATAAACTGTAACTATGGCGCCACCCAACAACCTAGCCTGCGGCGGCCCCCCCTGCAGCGGCCCCCAACGGACTGGTCAAGTAAATCGTTACGATCCACTCGCACAGCGTGCGGTGGGCCTTCATCCAGCAGTGGATTTAAGCACCAAAAAAACTGCAGTTCTAATGTAATGAGAACCGTGTGTATATGTCTGCATGTAATAGATGTGTGTGTAGTGCACGTGTGTTTTACCGTCAAAAGTATTATTGAAAGTATTATTGTAGAGTACTGTAAAAATAACGCGAACGGCTTTGCTGTACTTGAGGACTTTCAATAAGTTGAATAAGAGCGGCTTTACACGGCTTTCACTTAAAACTTTCACTCTACATACCTTTTTTGACGATCCCGCGATGCAACTTTAATGTGAATGAATGAAAATGTATTTAAACTTTAGTTGTGATATTTACATTCACTTCTAAGAGCTATGACTTATTAATCACTGAAAGAACTGTTTGGATTATTTGCAAGGTGTTATCTAAAGGGATCTTTGGAATTGTTGGGGGGGGGTCCCACTCAGCCCCCAGCCCTGTCGGCCCGTGAGTGTGGTGACAGTCAAGCTGCCCACTGCGCCTTATTACGGCGCAACATCACCTGGGGGGCGTACATGTTTGTGAGGGGCGCACCTCTGGTTGGCTGCTTGCTCGCGGTCACGTGACGCACTTCAACCAATCCGTGCCGTGTTAATCACACAATGACAGAGTCACAGAATGACAGACCTGGGTGTTTACATATATATTTATGGAGTTCTAGATTGCGCTATAGACTGGTTTAGAGCTCTAGACTGCGCTGTATCCTCTCCCACACCAACTGGTCTGGAGCTGCTGTCCCTCGTAGCAGCCTCAGTATTCCTCATGTGGGACAGAAACCTCAAGCCGCTCCCGGTCCAGTGTCGATACCAGCCCTGGGGATCTGGTGGCGCGACTGGGAGCGGTACATCCACGGCACAGCCATGGCACATCCACGGCACATCCACGGCACAGCCACGATACATCCACGGCACAACTACGGCACATCCACGGCACATCCACGGCACAGCCACGATACATCCACGATACATCCACGATACATCCACGGTACAGCTACGGCACATCCACGGCACATCCACGGCACATCCACGATACATCCACGGCACATCCACGGCACATCCACGATACATCCACGGTACAGCTACGGCACATCCACGATACATCCACGGCACATCCACGATACATCCACGGTACATCCACGGTACATCCACGATACATCCACGGCACATCCACGATACATCCACGGTACAGCTACGGCACATCCACGGCACATCCACGGCACATCCGCGGTACATCCACGGTACAGCTACGGTACAGCCACGGCCGCCCGGCTCGAGTGCCGAGCGCCATGCTTCGAGACGGGGTGCAAGGAGAGGTGGCTCGGAGGGTTCACAATGGCCGTGTGGTAGACACTGCCCGCACCGCTGACATCCTCATGTTTACAGCCTGGGCTCAGGATGTGTCTAAAGTGTCTAATATGTGGATGCCACGGTGGCGAGATGTTAGCTATCTCACCTGGTATACAGGAGATCCTCGCTTTTATTTCTTGAGTTTCAGCCACACCTTTTATCAACGGGTTCTCAAGTTTAGCGAGTTGGTGGTCTTTGCCTGATCACCAAGCTCACACTGCTGAGATTCTGGTTTTGAGCACCGGTTCTATGTCTCTGTTTCTCAGGGCACTCGTGATGGGCGTGTCCGAGACGCTGAGCCACCGTGGTTGACAAGTGAGATCCTGGGTCTGGGTTTCGCTCATATTGGCCGTGCCAGAGGGGACTGAAGCTGGCACCGCTGAGATCCTGGGTTCCAATCCGGGCAGTAACAACTCAGGATGACGTGAGCGGTTCCCGCGTCCCGTCAGGCAGTGTTGCGATTGTTGACGGTTGCCCTCTGTGCATGTGTGCAGGTTCTTGTCGTTGCCATGGCGTTCCGCGACGTGTGGAAGCGGAACCGCGTGCTGATCGTGATGGGCGCTGGCCTCGTGTCCGTCCACTTCGGCTGGTACCGTATGCAGGGCAACCACGCGTTCCAGGGGTACGGCGTCACGGCCGGGCCGCCGCCGCCGCCACACGGCCTCGCAGAGCATCAGAGCGGTGTGGGCGGCCTGCCCTCGGCGAAGCCGTCCACCTAGCGGAGTAAGAGCGACGTCCACCTGCATAGGTACGGCAACCGACACCACCCACAGTGCGCCCCATCTGGGCGGCTAAGCAGGGGTGCCACGGTTGCGAGATGTTAACCACCTCGCCTGGTATACAGGAGAAGGTCGTGGGTTCGGTCGTGACGCTTGCTGTATAATTGGAGTTTACGTGTTCTCCCTGCGGTCGTGTGGATTTTCTCCGGGTCCTCTGGTTTTTCCCTCCATATGGACTCAACATCACGCGTTTAGAGTATTTGGCAGCTAGAAATTTCCACATGATGAGAAGCCGCTGCTTCGTTGAGCTATAATTGGTGATAGGCAGGTCGCTTCTGATAAAAGAGCTACGAAGCTCAGTTGGCCTTACCCATTAAAATAAAATAAAAAATAGGTTTTGACCCCCCTGGTTAGTGCTTGTAGGCCTAAGACCAAACCGCTCTGGATGCACTGCCCGGTCCCATCGCCTCTCAGACGCCAAGGAGGTGGGGTTGAGACCGGATCACGCGTGGATGGGTCACCACTGTGCGTCGTCAGCAGGTGTTATAGTCTACGGGGCCGAGGGGTTGTGGGTGGCAGAGAGCAGTGCAGCAAAATGTACACCTGCTTCATTTTCTGTGATCCCCCACCTTCAACACGCAATGACCGGCATGGTGAAGTATGGTCAAATAACCCCCACGACCCATAAGTAGATTGACAAACTGTCTTCTTAAGCGTACATACGTGGTGGTTATGAGATGTTTCATCAGCCAAGCAGGCCCCTTGCCTTGCCTAGTCCGAGTGCCAGGCTGCCTGGGCCAGGGTGCACAGGGGAGGGCATGGGTCGGGCCTCCTGGGTCTGTGCCTTATCGGATGAGGCGCAGGGCATGTTTAAATCTAACGGTTCTCTTTTAATGTACGCATGCACGTAACCAGGGGATTAAATCCTTCAAGGCGCATGAAGCAACATTGCTTTCCTTTGCAAGGGCGACTTGGGGTCTTTCTCGAGTGCAACTGCGTGGGAAAACAGAAGCGACAAAGTTGCGTTGTTATTAACACGAGGCGTTAAGCGGCATTTGCAGAATAAGAACGCAACAGAGTTAAGACGTGGGAAATGTTCGCCGCGTAACTTGAGCTCTCGGCAAGCAACAGCCAGCGGAGCGGAGCAGAGCGTGTGGCTGCAGAGGAACGGCATGGTGGTGGGGGGCGAGGGGGAAACCCTGTCCAGTATCCCGTAGAGTTCTAGACTGTGCTGTGGCCTCTCCCGCCACCGACCGGTCTGGAGCTGCTGTCCCTCGTAGCAGCCTCAGTATTCCTCATGTGGGACAGAAACCTCAAGCCGCTCCCGGTCCAGTGTCGATACCGGCGTGGTCGGGAGCGGCACATCCGCGTTACATCCGCGTTACATCCACGGCGGCGCTGCCCAGCCGGCACTGCCACCCGGCTCGAGTGCCGAGCGCCACGCTCCGAGACGGGCGGCAGGAAGAGGTGGTGGCGGGTGGCTTGGAGGGTTCACAATGGCCGTGTGGTAGACACTGTCGACACTACTGACATCCTCATTATTTAGCCTGGGGTCAGGATTTGTCTAAAGTGTCTAATATGTCTCGGAGGGTTCATCATGGCCAGGGGTCGGCAACTTGCGGCGGCTCGTTGGCTTAGTCCCCTTGCGGGCAGCCGTTTTATTTACTTAAATCTTCAACATAATTTACCGTAAAGGTGATTGATGAAATATGGCAGGAAATGGGTTCGCTATGCAATGTCTTGGTGACGGCAAAATGTACAACAGTTAAACTGTGTTGTTAAAGAATAACTAAGGGGGGGACGCACCTAAATCGATGCAGTTTATTCCATCGTCTGTTGTTTAAGTCAGAATGTGTGTCGTCATCTGCTGTATACCCGCTGCTGTGTTTGTGTACAAGTCGCTCTCTCTGTGCGCGTCGCTGCGGCTCTCCAACTATTTTGGTCAAAGACAAAAAACAAGAAAATGCCTCCTTTGAAAGGCTGCCGACCCCTCCTCATGGCCATCGAGCTGGCTCCGCTGAGATCCGAGGTTCGAATCTGGGTTTCAGCCGCCCGTTATTAAACGCCGGGGGCTCTCGAGTGCAGCGCGGGGATGGTCTCGGTCAGCGATGGCTTTGGGTGGCATGAACCGGTGGGGCTGGGTGTATCCGGAGGTGCGTCGTGGCCGAGGCCACTCGTGTAACCAGTGCTGGACCTTTCGTTTTGTTTGTTATTTTGCTTTTTATGGCAAATCAATTTCTTGGTTTTTACATGATTATCCATTAACCCAATAAAATAAACTAAATGAACGGTAGATTTGTTTGCGCTGTACCATCTTGTCCTGCGTGCCTGTACATTTCTGGCCCCGGTGTTAACTTGCGATCCCCATTGCACACAGGGCTTTGAAGCGCGCCCGAGGGTCGTGGTGGCGGTGGTGGTGAGGAAAAACGTGGAGCAGAGCGACCCGAGGGGGAACTGGAGCGGGGAGCTGTCGGCAAAACCTGGACTGCTCTAGCGCCTGGACTGCTGTAGCGCCTGGACTGCTGTAGCGCCTGGACTGCTGTAGCGCCTGGACTGCTGTAGCGCCTGGACTGCTGTAGCGCCTGGACTGCTGTAGCGCCTGGACTGCTGTAGCGCGGAGCAGGCAGTGGAGAGGATGTGGCAATGTGACGCTCCCACACAAGTGGGGACGCTTCTCCGGGTTAAGACTTTTGTTATTTCAACCGGCAACAATCTGCGCTGCAACATTGCGTACTCGTGGGCTCTCCGTGGCTGGCTTTTTCACGACTTTGGGGTGACACTCTTGTAAAGGCGTCCTAAACGCTGTTTTGATGCCGTCGAAATTAATGCAGCCGTGTTGGCTTGTTGGCCTAAAACAAGGCTGCGCGCACTTCAACGGCGGTGTGGTGATGTCATGCAAGGCATGATGGGAGGACTAATTCAATTTATTGGTCGCACTCACATCTTTTGCCATCTGCAAATCGCCTTTTGTGTGTACTATTATCATTTTTACGTTGGGTTACATAAATGTGGTTTATATTGGGTTGCATCCCCCCTTTTAAAGCATCCAGAAACAAATGTTCGTGGGTGTCGGTCATTTTTTTAAAATATTTGCTCTGTGATATTTTGGGAGATTGGCACAGAAACTGAAACATCGAGGTTGGTTAATTTTCAAATCTGCGGTCGCGTTTGGATTCCAGTCTCCTTTCCAACTTCTCGACATTGTTGGTGGCCGAGGTTCAAAGAAAGTTCCCCGCTTCTAACCCCCACACTTTCTTGGCCGACGGTGATACATGTTGGCTTTCAGACTGTTGTTCCAGATCGAGCCAATAAACTTGACTTCAGTCAACTCCTGATTATCCGGGGTGATTGGTGGGGGGCGTGGATAAAATAAAAAAACAGATATTGGAAACCAATGAGGCTGTACAATATATTTATTACTTCCCAATGGAGAAGGGAGGCGATAAAGACGTTGAGTGCATGGTCTGTTTTTATTGACTGTGTGCATGTTGTCTTTCGCGGCATATTTAGACAATTGTGGTAATCGGAGGTGCGGGGGCAGGATAAACTAAAGATAAAGCAGTTCTAAAGAAATTAGTTTTAAATCTAGATTATTTAAAAGTGCAAAGCTCCAGTGGCTTCCTAATATGGTTAGAGCGGTCCAGATGGCCGCAGAAGCGCATCTGAAGCGCGCGTTGCGGTGACCGCCGTCTTTGATAGCCAAACAAAAAGCCGCTGCGCAAACTCTGCCACTATAAACCAGATCGCTGCTGCTGCTGCCACGGCCATCTTGATTGTGGTGTCATGGGGCAACCGAGTCACGAGTCAGGGGCAGCGGTGACAGGAGCGGCACATGTACATAATCACTTTAAGATGTTTTCTTGTTCATGTTTTTGTTTGTTGCGGTTGCACCCGATTCAAGAGCCGAATGGCTCACAGGGCTATACCAAATAAATGGAAATGGAATGGATGTAAAAGTGTTTTACGGTTAATCTATTATCTGGGTAGTCTGCCCGTGAATTATTGAGATAATTGTTTGCCTGTGTGCTAAACACCAGTCCTAGAATCCTTCTGGATCATCTTTGGGATTTTACATCATTCACGATGGTCTATCGCTAGTGTAGTGTAGTGTGTCACACACTGTAGTTGGAGGTAATACTTTTAATAAACACAACCCTAACAACTCGAGTTCTATAGCTCGGTGTGGCTATCTGTTTGCTCTGTGCGTGCGCGTTAGTGTAGCGAACGGGCCAGTCAGCACACACGCTGTCTGGCCCACGATATCAGACGACACTCAACCGACGAACGAGGAGCGACGAGCGAAGACGAAGAGACGCGGGACTCCCCCACAACGGTCCCCGATCCCTGTTCGGGCTCCCCCTTCATTTCCCTGGGCGCGGGCTCGCTCTGCCCTTGGCCACGCCCCCTGCTGTATCAAGTAAGGAGCCCCCGGCTCCCAGTCACGTGTCCCTCTATTACCCGGCTCCCAGTCACGTGTCCCTCTATTACCTGGCGCTCAGCAGCACGTGTGAAATAGTGGCTGGCGCTAACCATAGTGACAACATTTCATGTCACTACACTAGTAACAAAATAAATCATTGGGCACTAATCCCCTCCACATCTCCAGTATATATTTTTTTACATATCCCATCAGCCACACGGCCTTCCTCCGGGGTGTCCATTTGTGTTTTTTCATCGGCATCCGTTCAACGCAAACTCTGCACCAGTTTTGACATCGAGGGTTTCGTCAGCAGAGGCGGGCTCGATGAGAACCACCACGGCTGACGAGTTGCCAGACGTTTACAGGCCAGGGCCATCGCTAACGTCTGCCTTTGGGCGAAGTGAGAGCGCTCTCCCTGCTGATCGAGGCGATGGCCTTGGCCGTTTGCACCCCCCTCCCTCGCAAAAAGAAAAGGCAATTGTGTTCGGTGCCGTTCGGATAAAAAAACCTTGAAAAAACTTGACTGCTCCATTGTTTGGTGATGTGTGCAGCCCTTTCACCAATCCACTGCTGGATGAGGGCCTCTGTGTGACCCTATGGGTCTGTAGAGTTTGTGTGAGTGGATCTGTGGTTCTACGAGTTTCAGTGAGTTTGGGTGTTTGTGCGAACTCGCGTCCACTGCGATTGTTCTCCCGAGTGCATGAGTGGTTCAAACTCGTCGTGCCCAGAAGCCAGCAGTTGGAATTGCAACAATGATTTACAGTTTCTACTCAATCCATATCCATACAAAAAAAGTATAAGTCAACATAAAAAAGTTAGTTATTAACTATTTTATTAACTTTTATTTTACCGGGTAAAGCCCACCTCTATATAGCTCTTTGTCAGAAGCGACCTGGTCACATCGTAGCTCAACAAAGTGGCTCGTGGGGAAATTTCAAGATGCCAAATACTCGAAATGCATGTTTCTAAATGTGGAGTGCAAAACCGGAGGTCGCGGAGAAAAATCCATGCGACCACGGATCAAACATGCAAACTCCAAATATACATGCATCGGGGTCGGGATCGAACTCTCGACCTCCTGTATACCAGGCAAGGAGGTTAATAACCTGTCACCATGGTGCTGGGATCACGCGGATTCCACCCGAGTGGGAAGACAGGCACCGGAGTGGTCGCTTCCGTTATTGTGATGACGTTTGTTCACTCATGAGGGCCTCACTGAGTCTCAACATTCAGGGATGTCAACTCTCGGATTACCTCGGGAAATGGAGTAAAGCGCAGATAATAGCATTGGCGTGGGTGTAAAGTAATTATTGGCAAGCATGAATAATTGAGTTAAATGCAGAATGTAAAGATACACCATGCGGATACGTAAAAAAAAACCATGAGGTGAAACGATCAATGAAAAAATAAGAATCATTCTGGAAGGGGCGTCGTGAAAATATGACAATTCGGATTTGTCTTCAGAGTCCCCAACACACTCGTGGACTCGCGTTGGAGTGCACAGGCAACGAGTTCCAGTCTTAAGAGTTCCTGAAGAAGCTCCCCACACGTGGAACTAAACGTCAGTTCCTGAAAAAGCGCCCCACACGTGGAGTGAAACGTCAGTTCCTGAAGAAGCTCCCGGCACGTGCAGCGAAACGTCGGACTTCAATCCGAAGGTCAGGCGGCACAGCCCGCAAACGCTTTGGGCAGTGCTGCCACAGCACAACCAAAACAACCTACGCAGTCGCCCTTGCAAAAGTAACTAACACTTGTGGGGCGCATTTCATCCGTAGATCCCAAGTGAGTCACAGATCCGAGTGCGACTGGCCGTGGCGGGGACGGAGCGAGCGCCCTCACGGAATGTCCCGGTGCCCCGTCTCCGTCAGCATGGCCTCCAGCGCGAGCTTCGCGGCGTCGGTGACGTACGGCTGGTGCAGCCACGCCGACAGGTAGACCATGGAGAGGTTCGGCGACGGGGCGTGTGCCATCTCCGCCACCAGCACGCGCCTCAGCCGCAGCTCCTCGCTGTACTGCGCCTGCAGCTGGGCCGACACCTCGTCTGCGTCCACAGCGCGCCAGACAAATGGGGGGGGGGCGACGGGTCAGGGTAGAGCGGGTAAACAAACGCACAAACGGTGATTTGGACTCCTGGACAAATGTGAAAAAGAGCTTTATAGCTCATTGGATTCCTCCTGCAGTATAAATATTTGTGATTTGTTTTGCCTTCCCGCACACACGACCTGATGAATGGTCACGACTTTGAGGTCGCGATTCGACGCTCGAGTCCAACCTTGTTTTGTTAACCCTGTCCTGCTTGTCTTGTGCCGATGTAATAAAGAGAGTACACCGCCGGTCGCCGACCGGCTGGATAGGCTCCGCTGTGTCAGCCATAAGCCAATCAGGTTAAGTGGGATCATCTGGGCCGAAGTCCAGGGGCGGGGCTCAAGGGTGCTCGCGGGGAACCATCGGGAAGGTTCTAGAAGGGGCGTGGCTAAAGGCGGGGCTTGGCTCCGCGTGAGAGGGATATAAGGGGAAGCAGGAAGAGGCTCGAGGCCAGTGTGGGAAGTCTGGAAGCGGGACCACGTCTCGCGCCTTCGGAACGCCAGCGGCCACGTGGCGGTCCGAGGGTTGCCTCCTTGCGCGCCGTCAGCCAGCGATGCGCAGGAGCTGGGAGAGAGAGCGAGCCGTGCGCGGGACGGAGTCAACACACACCGCGCAGAGAAGAACGGAACGGTTAATATACAAATGGAGGAGCGTGGAGCTGTTCAGCCGACACAGATACAAATAAAGACACAAGTCTTTCTTTATTTATATCTGCACAGAGCATCACCTCGCCCCTCTTCTCTGCGATGCACCACATGCATTGTTGATCTCGAGGCCATGCTCCGGAGCTGGCTTGCTGTCCTCTTCCGAGCTGCTGTGTCTTCTTGTCGAGCTGTCCCTTGCCAAGCTGATGGTCGCCGTCTTCTGCCGCTGGTAGCTGTGATGCAATGTATGGCCTGTGTCTCTCTTTTTATGCCAAAATGTCTTCCTCTGCTCGCCTTCTCACAAAGGATCGGAACGTCCTTTGATCTCGCTCTGTGTTGTGGGGGGGGGGTTGTACGTGTGTCCGTGTGTGTGTGTGTTATATTTATTGAGGTAATATGAGTTTCATCAAGGCATGGTTCCCTGTCACCTTCCTCAAGCCATCCCGCCATCAAAAGGAAACCGATGCTCCAGATTGCCCCCGAGTGCGTCCTTCTTTCTCACCCTCTGCACTAATTAATCTGGAAGGAGGGGGGTGCCCCCTGTCCGGTCGAGTCCTCTCCCCCCTGCTCTTCCCTCCCGGTGTGACATTGTTTTGCCTCGCACAAAGGATGTGTTGAGGCGTTTGAAGTTACACATTTATTTTACCTCATAGCTTGATACCGTAACACTTGTAGTTATGATTCTGTACGTGACTCAAGGTATGTTGTAGTAGTGTTTCCATCGTGGTGTTTGATTTTTAAGAGGAGATGCCCTCTGCCTGCGTATGCAAATTCTATCACGTGCTGCTGGAAGACAAAGGTGGCCGGGAGGCTCTCTTTCTCTCTGGGATACATTTATCTTGGTCACGTGATCGACCCACGTTGCCTCATCTCTTCTGGCTGGTTCCCCGGTTTAATACTGCATAATTATTATTTGGTTTATTTTTCCCAAGAGTTGTGATTTCACATTATCATCACCACGTATTTCTTAGGGTTTATTAATTTTCGTTCCACCGCCTGTATCCTGGGTTTGTGCTGTTTGTTCTCGAGTTATTGTTATTATCTGATATCCCGAGGTTAGAGAATTCGTTATGGCTTAGGAATAACTCTGACTGCCAGAATTCTTCTTGATGCTTCGGTCAGATCGTGTAGAAAATTATTAAAGGTGAAAATAACATTAGTGTTGAATTAATAAATGAGGAGTAATGATCCACTGATGTAGAATGTAGGCTGGTTTTTAATTGGAGTGAGTCTGAGGATCGATAATGTTAGCTTCATCTTTGGTTGCTAAGTTTTGGAATTTTTACCATTTGTTAGAAGAAGCATGAAAAGTTAACCAAAACGAAACGCCTGTTTGTTATCCTTCGTCCGGGGGGGGGGGGGGGGGGGGGGGGGTGTATGTGTGTTTTTATTTGACTTTATGACTGACCCTTTCCGTTGGTGGGAGGGGAGGGTGTCATTATCTTTGCGAGAGTGACAAGACAGCTGCTCGAAAAGGGGGGGATTAAATGCGCCCCACAAATGTTAGGGGGGTTTCCGTTTTTTTGTGCTCCCAGTGACCCCGCGAGATTATATGAAAAAAAATATTGTCAAAATCATTATTAATATCAAAAAATGGAAAAAAGGCCTATATATATACAACAGCTGTACTACCTACGCACCTGTCTATGCTGCCCACCTGCAGCAACCCGCACTCACCAACATGAAGTACGCTCAAACAATAGCCATGACCGACATGCCGCTGGGAGGCTCTCGCCCGGCAGTGGCTTTGCCAAAGGGCTGCACGCACCTTCATGCGTGGAACTTAAAGTTTTGGCTTACAGGGAGGTCGCTGTGCTTACAGGGAGGTCGCTGTGCTTACAGGGAGGTCGCTGTGCTTACGGGGAGGTCGCTGTGCTTACGGGGAGGTCGCTGTGCTTACAGGGAGGTCGCTGTGCTTACGGGGAGGTCGCTGTGCTTACGGGGAGGTCGCTGTGCTTACAGGGAGGTCGCTGTACTTACGGGGAGGTCGCTGTGCTTACGGGGAGGTCGCTGTGCTTACAGGGAGGTCGTTGTGCTTATGGGGAGGTCGTTGTGCTTATGGGGAGGTTGCTGTGCTTACAGGGAGGTCGTTGTGCTTACAGAAGGCTGTTGCTCCGACAGAATCAGAATCTTTATTTAGACTACAGGAGGAATCCTATGACCTGTGAAGCTCTTTTTCACAGGTCTCAAGTATGGCCGGATCAGTAAAAATAGAGAAAATAGTGAGCAAGTCACTAAATTTTAATAGATAATAATGACGTGTGTTGAAGAAGGCTGTTTGTTGTACTCACAGAAGGTTGTTGTCGGCCAAGAACGGAAGAGCGGCGTTGGCCTCCAAGCTTGCTTGTTCTGGTACCACTCCAGGTCACACACGGCCTGCAGCGTCGACGTCAGCTTCTCCATCGTTTGCAGCAGTCCCCTCTGCAACAGCAGGAGCGACACGCGGCTTGTGTGTTTAGTTTGTTGTCCTTGCCCCTACCCCCCACCGCCCAGCACCGCCGGCGAGCACGGTTGGCCACGTAAGGTGCGAAAGAAGTTCAAGACACATAGCCCAGTAAATGTTTATTTAGTTATTTATTCGTGAGAGCCACGCTGATCCCTCGGACTCCTTCTCAGGAGGGTCCTGCCGCTTACATTGGGGGTTTTATTTTAAGATGTTTTCAGCCATTTAGTGTTTATCATGCAAGTGGGAGGATGCCGTAGTTGGATATTTTCTAAGCTTTCCAACCAGGGTAACCATGTCTGTACGTACCGGCGGGGGGGAGGCACGGTGGGCCACGGTGGCAATGAGATGTTAACTACCTCGCCTGGTATGCTGGAGGTCGTGGGTTCGATCCCGACCCTGATGCCTGCTGCTGTATATTTGGAGTTTGCGTCTCTCTCTCCCCCCGTGGTCGTGTGGATTATTCTCCGGGTCCTCCGGTTTTTCCCTCCGCATTCAGAATCAACATCACGCGTTCAGAGTATTTGGCTGCTTTCCATTTCCACACGATGATAAGCCATTTCATTGAGCTATCATTTGTGGCCAGGTCGCTTCTGAAAAAGAGCTATACACCTTAATGGGCTTTACCTGCTAACATATATAGTTATATGTTGTATAGATCTTTCTACCAACCTATAGCGCAGCCGAGAACTGTACGTCAGTATGTGGGACTTGTGTGGACACCCGGCAAGGCACACACATAGCGTGACATCACATCGTGTTGCGTAATGGCCCTGGGTGTGTCATTGTGCAGTCATTGAGAACCCAGCTTCATTCGCAAGTTTGTGAAAGCTGCATTCAGTCCGCAGCACCTCGGAGATGTTGCGCCGTGCCCTGGCTCGGTACTGGCTCGGTGTGGACTGCTTGACCAGTCAACCACTCAATCCCAGGGTTTTAATCCAGGATCTTGGTGAGCTGCTGCCGACAACGACGACGCGCACTCACCAACTTCTCCCACACCTCGATGAGTTGGTCGCAGTCTCTCTCCAGTTCCTGGGATCGTGTTGATTCCGCGGCCGATGCTGCTTCCGCAGTCGGCGCAGAATCGTCCTCCTTCCTGCCCAGGGAGGGATTCGTTCCACGCGTGTTAATCGCTATGGGTGGCATCTCGTCGCCATAGTTGGCGCCCGATTATCCACTTGCTTGCTGTCCGCGGGCGTGCGGATTAACCGTGCTTTCGGGAAGACTGGCGCTATTTGGACACGTGCAGGATGGACAACAGGAAAATTAAAATCATGTTGTTCGAGAAAAAAATGGAAGGAACCGGAAAGAGAGGAAGACCTCAGAGAGAATGACTTGACAACGACGCCAAACGAGATCGGTGTTAGAAAGATGTAGCCACCGCTTGAGCATGTTGGGGCGCAGGAGACGAGAGGAAAGTGGAAACAAATGACGGAAGTTCGCAGTGGGCACCCACGGGGCTGTCTGCAAAACGTAATGATGTGACGATGACGATGAGCGGGAAAAAATAAATATAACATTTTTAAATATAGGATTTCTTACAATTTTTATTTATTTATTCATTTGTATTATTTGCTTTTCTTTGTTATGTCTGTCACGTGTGTTTTTAATTGACGAATCCCGACTTAAGCGCTTCTGAGCTCACACTTTACTTCAAAATAAACGGAACTGAAGCTGATATAATTGTTAAGGTTCTACGCACGAAAGGTAAAAACCTATCCTTATTTTTTTTACACTTCCGATATGGCAAAAAAAAGTTCTCATTTTATATAAAGAACAAAAACATTCCCCCCACACGCGCACCCGGCACGAACCAATCGGCTTAACCATCTCGGCGAGTGGCGAGCGGCGAGGTCTCTGGACTCACGGTGCCGCGAGCCGGGAGTTGGCCACCCTGGAGGCGAGTGCCAAGCCCGAGTCGACGACGAGGCGGTCCCACTTGGCGATGGCGTTGTGCCAATCGGCGGCCACGTCCCTCACCTTCCTGCCGCTGGGGCTCGCGGCCGGGGACGACGACGACGGGGAGGGGGAGGCCATTGCGGGACCCTCCCCTTCGCGCTGCGGCCAAAGAGGGGGGGGGTCAAGGGGTCACGGTAGGTCCTCGCTTAACGCGTTTTTCGCTTAACACGCATCTACGGCCGCGTTGTACGAGGAATTACCGTGCGCTCTTTGGTTCTTCTCCATTCCCAGGCAATAAGCAACCGATTTAAAGCTTTCGTGACTGCAATGATTCATCTTCTTTGGTTCTTTCGGTAAAGTCACGTAGAATGAGAATAAAATAATAAATTGATAAAATAACACAATAATATTCTCACTGTGAGATAAAATAACACAATAATATTCTCACTGTGAGAATATTATTGTGTTATTTTATATTCTCACTGTGAGAATATTATTGTGTTATTTTATTTTATCAATTTATTATTTTATTCTCATTCTACGTGACTTTACCGAAAGAACCAAAGAAGAATAAGCAACCGGTGGCCATAATTACACTTTGACGTTGCCACAACTAAAATCGCGCTATTTAACCGTTTAAAATACATATATATAATTTCAGCTCGTCACGTTTCCCTGAAGGGCGCCAACGACTGCCCAAGATCTGCGGTCCTCTGCGTACGGGAAGGCGACACATTCGGCCCGTGAATGACCGCCATCGTTAGGGATGCTGCGATTTGGCTCGACGCAGTCAGTACCTGTGTGCTAAAGGAAGACGCTTGGCGACCGAACTCGGGGAGGTTTTTCCTCGCGACCCTTCCTGCTCGACACGACCGAGGGGACTCCTCGCGGGCAGTCAGCGGCAACGCCGAGGCGACCTGGAGGGAGAGAGAGGAAAAAACCTCTCATCTGGCATCTCGGAGTAAGAGATGTAACGATTCCGATTCTGGATTGCGTTCTAAAACGAATCGATTCTTCGTCTCACCGGTTTATTAGCCATTAACGACACGGCACCGTTGCCTCTTGGTAAACGATTTACTCACCGACTAACAATCGATTATCTCGGCGACTAACAATCGATTATGTTAACCCAAGCATCCCACTGGGATTTTTTGCACACAGCGTTGGTGTACGGTGCTTTTTTTTCAGGAATATATTGCTGTGTTTTTTCATGGATTTTCTGTTTGCACAGTCACATAGTCACTTTAAGATGTTTTTCTTGTTCGTGTTTTTGTTTGTTGTGGTTGCACCCGATTCCTGCCAAAGTAAATTCCGTGTCGGTGTGAACTTACATGGCGAATAAAACCCTTTCTGATTCTAAATAAACTGAAAATGGTTGCGCGAGAATCGATTGCAGTGCGTGAATCGCTAACGGAACGCGTGCTCAGCAGCAGGGGCTTCTGTCTGCTGCTTGGCGGAAACACGCGAGCGATCGGTGACGTCACGCGCGCACCAACTTCTGCCAGTCAGACAGAAGCTGTTGATGACGTCACGCGCGTAAAGTTTATATTAAACTATCTATGACGTCATCAAAGAAGTAACTTGCCTGCCGCTGAGGCGACACGCGACTTTTCTGATCATGTTGCTGCTATGAAATGTTCAAATGATGGGGCCACTTCGTTGGGCTATCAATTTGTGGTGGGCAGGTCGCTTCTGAAAAATAAGTTAACGCCTCAAGTGGGCTTTGCCTGGTATAGGATGGGGATGGTTTCGTTTTATTTATGTGTTTGGATTATGTTTACCTTACTTGTACTTTGTACTATCGTGTTTTCGTATTGTTGTAACGTTCTTACCCCGTGCCCCTGCTGGGCATCTGCGAAAAAGAGTTTTATGGCTCATCGGATTCCTCCAGAATTATTCCGATTGCATTTCTGACGTCACTCGCGCAGTAACTTTCCTGCTAAATTACATGACGTCACCCACACGGCAACTCGTTTGGCGTCAAGTCTGCCGACGTCACGAAGAGACGCGCCCGGTGCCGCTCCCAGTCCACCGCGAGCCGCCACTCTCCGCCGCCTTCGAGGCAGAAGCGACCAAATGACGTCACTCGCAAAGCAACACGCCGCTAAAATACGAAATAAAAAAAGTTTCGCTCGATGACGTCACGCACGCCGCTGTTAACAATCGCTCGATGACGTCACACAGCCACTCGCTGTTCCTGCCGCCCCTCGCCGAGGAGACGCAGCGACTTTGATGGCGCTCGCCGCCGTGCAACGGTAAAGCGGCGACTTCTGTCTGCCCGCATTCGCGACGAAGACAGAAGCGGCGAGTCCCCCCGGGCCCTTGAATGAGGATCGAGCGCGCGCCCCCGCTACTCCGCCATGGCCTCCACCTTCTCCTCCTCCTCCGCGCCGCCGCCGCCGCTGCTGTTGTTGAAGAACGCCCTGAGGGGAGATGCCGCGGCGCGCGCGATGCTCGCGCTGTGGCTCGCGACGCCGCCACCATCGCCACCACTCCCCCACCGCGGAATTCCCGACGACGCCTCAGGCCAGGTGCGCGCGTACCTGGCTTTGCGGATTGCGCGCGCACCTGGCTTTGCGGATTGCGCGCGCGTGTGTCCATCACGCGCCTTCAGTTTCCCGCCCAAAATACGCGCGCGACAAACCACTCCCTCCCCGCTCTCGCTGCTCCGCCCACTGACCCCCCGCTGACCCCCCCGCTGACCCCCCCTCTCCCCGCTGACCCCCCCTCTCCCCCCGCTGACCCCCCCCTCCCCCCGCTGACCCCCCTCCCCCCGCTGACCTCCCCTCTCCCCCCGCTGACCCCCCCTCCCCCCGCTGACCTCCCCTCCCCCCGCTGACCCCCCCTCTCCTCCCGCTGACCCCCCCGCTGACCTCCCCCCGCTGACCTCCCCTCTCCCCCCGCTGACCCCCCTCCCCCCGCTGACCTCCCCTCTCCCCCCGCTGACCCCCCCTCCCCCCGCTGACCTCCCCTCCCCCCGCTGACCCCCCCTCCCCCCGCTGACCTCCCCTCCCCCCGCTGACCCCCCCTCTCCTCCCGCTGACCCCCCCGCTGACCTCCCCCCGCTTACCTCCCCTCTCCCCCCGCTGACCCCCCTCCCCCCGCTGACCTCCCCTCTCCCCCCGCTGACCCCCCCTCCCCCCGCTGACCTCCCCTCCCCCCGCTGACCCCCCCTCCCCCCGCTGACCCCCCCTCCCCCCGCTGACCCCCCCTCCCCCCGCTGACCTCCCCTCCCCCCGCTGACCTCCCCTCTCCCCCCGCTGACCCCCCTCCCCCCGCTGACCTCCCCTCCCCCCGCTGACCCCCCCCTCCCCCCGCTGACCTCCCCTCCCCCCGCTGACCCCCCCTCCCCCCGCTGACCCCCCTCTCCCCACTGACCCCGCCCTGCTGACTTCCCCTCCCCCTGCTGACCTCTAAACCCCGAGAGTCTTCCCAATTGCACATTTGTCAGAGTGTGTATGAGGTATATGAAGAGACCTCAAAGTTCTGTTATCTTGACACAAGGTTGGTGGTGCACTGTTTCCTGAGAGAGGTCCACATGTAAATGTCTTCATCTCACCACCGCGATATTGTGCTCCGCAGCATATTTTTTTGTATATTCATAGATGACTCGGCTGAGACGACAAACTCTATGGGACGTATATACTTTTAGCCATCCTATCGATTTTCCAAATAAAAATGTAATTAATTGCAGTAAAACATTTTTTTTAATGAATCACGCTACGTACTATAAGCATCGCTGTGCCGGCTGCGGTCGGTGTTCGGTGGGGCAGGAATGCGGTCACGATTCCTCGTCCGCGCTGCCTGCATTGGAGGCCCTCGGAGAAGCCGCCTGGCGAGAATTCATCCCCTTCCTGCTGAACTTCCTGCGGGAGCAAGCGAGCGACGCCGTCGGCTGGAGCCAACCTTCGCCTCGCAAGACGCCGAGCGCGCCGGCGCTTTGGCCAGGCCAGCGCACCCCGTCGGACAGCGGCTCTCTCGGGCCGCGGGGCCTGCGGAAGGCGGCGCAGAGTCGCGCGCCGTGCCAAGCCACGCCGGGGTCGACCGCGGGATCCCTCGCCCCGCCGTCGACCCTGGAGCACCCGCAGCGGGGAGCCCGACAGTCGCTCAACGGCGCGTTCGAACTGCTCGCGGAAAAATCCCCCTTCGGCGGCGGCCGCCCGGCGACGCCCGCCCGCGGCTCCGAGGACGACGTCGCGCGCCGGCCGGGAAGCCCGCCGCTCGAAAGGGGGGGCCGCGGCGGAGACATCGCGCCGAGGAAGAGGGCGGACGGCCCGCCGCTCTGCGCCGGTCCCGCCGACCCGGCGGGCGAGCGCACACCGCGCTCCGCGCAGAAGGCCTCCCTCTCCGACTTCATAGTCCACGGGTCGGACAGACACGCCGCACACAGGGTCAAGCAGAGCAGCCCCGCCTGCGGGAAAGCCAGAGAGAATGGGTCGGCGGCAGGAGCGGCAGGGGCGCTGGGAAGATGCTTTCGGTCGTCCCCGTGCCAAAGAGCGGACGCCTCTCTGTCGGGAGATGGAGAGAGAGGTCCGAGAATGAGCAGGCACCCGGACCAGGCGCAGCAGCAGCATCCTCCGCATGGCCGGAAAAATAGTAAACATAGACAAGGTGGCACGAGCTTGGAGCCCTCATCACGGAGGGCGGTGGGTGGCGGGCAGTCCTCCGGTGGTGGAGAGGTGAATTGTGCATCTGCTGTGAGGAGCCCAGACGCTAGCGGTTGCGTCGCCGATGGAGACGTGATGGTGCCTCCGAACCTGTGCAGCCTGGAGGAGTTCCCGTCCATGGGCGGCACCGCAAGCTCTGGCAAGTACGTCGGTAGTAGTAGGTCTGTCGCAAGCTGGCTGGATGGCCCAGGCGTCGGAGGGCTGAGCTGGCACTGTTAAAATCCAGGCTTCTATTCTCGGTTTTGGCTGTCCGCGATTTATCGATGTACTCAAACACACCTCGAGCCTGTCATCCTTTACTGCGTGCGCAAAAAAAACATTGCAATGAAAACAAATTTAACTTAATTCCAACAATTACAAAATCACCTTGCCCTGTAATGGACATTTCTGTCTCTAGCAGAGACTGTTGGAAATTGTGCCCCTAATGCGTGGATGGAAGGATGTTAAAGTGATAAGTTCTGTGATGTCTCCTTCCGCATGCAGTTGTCACAGTGTTGCACTGACATGCTGCCGATAGCACAATAATTGGAATTGTGCGTGAAGTTTTAAGGGAAATACACCGTGTAAAGCCAATGATTTCACACTCATTCAGACGCCTCCCCTTCCCCCTGATAATGTCATGATGCGTGACATCTCCCGACGTCACACCTCATGTGGTATCAACTCATTGCAGAGATCATTATTATCGCCAATTAAATACTCCCCAGGGACGAACAGCACGTTGGAAAGCATTAGCAGAATCCCTGCGTACACATGCTTTTTAATTCCTTGTAAATTTAACCGATCGTTTGTCGTCATCGTTGTTGCGTCCGTGACGAGCAGCTCGCGGCCCTCGCGTCGTATAAAGCCGACGCCAGTGAGCGTGGCGCACCACCGCTCGCAGCCCAATGAGTGCTTCACCTCCACGCCGCTCAGCCAGCCGCCGCCGCCGCCGCCTAGGTGGGGTGCGGTACCGGCCTCGCCGCGCGACCGCCACACGATGCCGTGGTGCAGCCCGACCTCGCAGAGCCAGCTGGCGGGCCGGCACGCCCAGTCTGGCAGTAGCACCCAAAGCCACCACCCGCACAGCGCGATGCCGAGACAGAGTCGGTGAGCGAAACAATGTTTTCTCTGGGGCTTTTTAATTTTTCACGCTTTCCAATGAAGGTTGAATGCACTTATGCATGAACTCCTGATGATATAGTTTTATAATGGATTGTTGATGACTTATAAACGTGGTGAGAGGGGAGAGAGAGGAACAGGAAGAGAGATGGGGGAGGGATGAGATACAGTGGAGGGAGAGGTACAAGAGGGGAAATAGGAAGAGAGAAACCGACAAAGCGAGACATCTAGGTGAACTGGGATATAAAGCACAGAGAAGGGAAGACAACGGTGGAGAGACAGGGCTCAATATAAGATAAATGTTTTGCTGATTGCCTGGGAGGGACATACGAATGAACATTCAGGTCCAAAGGACAGTGCTCAATAATTAAGCACAACACGCTGACCTTTCAACCACCCGGCCACTTTCTGCCTCCTAAATTCCTGATTCTCACTCCTCCTTGACTTTGGCTCCCTGCCTTTACCACAGGGGCAAGCAAGTGAGCCCAGACTCCACCACGAGCGAGCCGGCGAACGACTCCTCCGCTTGCTGCACGACCCCGGTGTTTCACGCGGTCCATCGGGGCGGCCCAGAGGTGGCCACGCCAGACGTGACGTCTCCCACGACCCCCCCCGCGACGTCGCCAGCGATCGCCACACAGCTGCTGCTCGATTCGCCAGCGGGCCCGGCCAGCCAAACCGTGGCAGACGAGTCGCCGGGGACCCCACGGCCCGACCGGGTGTCGCACCGGCATCAGTTGGACGTCTTTGCCGAGCTCTACTCCGTGTGCCTGCGTCGTAATCTGGTGCCGAACCTGCTGCTGGAGGTCTACTTCACCTTGCAACTGTTCACAGTGCCGTGCGGATCGGCGGACGTCGCCAAAGAAGAGGCCCCTGTCGTCGTCGACAACGACCGTCCAGAGCCAAGTGGCGGCAGTGATGGTCAGATTCGCTTTGACTCTTGTTTTAATGTTTTTAAAATAATCTACTTTGCAATGTCCTTCTCGGTTGTCTTATCCATGTCATACGGAGAGATGATGAACTGATTGAGATCTCCTGTTTTTCCCTTCAATGCGACATATCACATACCCTTCCTAAAATTGCAGTGCACAGAATTTTAAACGTGCGCGCTTTCTCTATTTCAGAACCTCTCAAAGCAGCCTACTTCCAAAGCGTTCATAATTGCGTCTACTTCGCTGTCAAGGTCTTGGAAAAGCTCATGGGGTGAGTCGATGGATTTAGGCATTCCGCAGTCAGCGCACATTTCAAGCGTCAATGATGCATTTCAATTTTCCGGTCCAGCATATGTCGGTGTTATCAACATTTGCAAACGTGCGTTGAGGTACCAAGTCATTCAAACGTGCCGCCCGGAGCCGGGACCCTGCCGAAAGGGACACGCCCTTCCCAGCAGAGCCACTCAGTCCTACGGCCGTGCTGCTTCCTTGTGCGCCTGGCGCTGGCATTACCGTCAACATCGAGAATTCAAATACCCCCCCCAGGAACAAACGCAATGTTGTAAAGCAATTACGTAATCAGTGCGAAATTAATCGTTTTTATTCATTTTGTTCATGCTTGGGCCGCGTCTCGCGCTAAGAGTTGCCACCGCGTGTGGTTGTGGGTTGTGCATTGTGCCCAGGCTGCTGGGGTGCCTGGACCGGGGCACGCTGCGCTCGCTTCTGGAGCACGAGCGCGTGGCCACCTTCTCCCCCTCCTTGCTGGAGCAGCTGCAAGCAGCCTACGGCGTCAGCACAGCCCGGGTGAGGCAACGCAGCCAAACCAGCAACAGCGTCCACACCCCCCCCCCCCCCCCCCCGGGCGCAAACAGCCTGCGCGCGCACAGCCCGCGTACAGCGTATTCAGTTAATTTTTTTCCTTGACCAAATTAT